TGTATCGATAGTTGGCATCGATCCTTTCGACGTGCCACTTCCATTCCACATAGGTTGTGGGGCATTCATTATCCCCATGCATAACCATATTGTGGACCGAGGGCCGAATGGCCACTTCGATTGCTTCAAACATCTGTTTCTCGTCTCTGAACTCCTCGCACTTGTGGGCTAGCCTTTCGAACTTCACAAAAAACTCTATGGCTGATTTGAAGTCCGATTGGCAGATCTTCTTCCACTCCTGCTTCCATATGGCTAACTCAGCTACCTCACGGAACTGGACGGTCAGATCATGGGAGAATTCCTCCCATGTCGGGAACCTCCAGTGCCCATGTGGGTCCCTGTAACGATAATACTGGTCACCCCACCACTCCTGGGCCTTCCCTCGTAGGTACCCCTGGGCGAACGTAATCCGATAGGGGTTCTGCCCCTGGTCGTTCATCATGTAGTACATGGGGAATACCTGGAAGTACATCTCACAGTGGTGAAGAAAACGGTTTATGTCCGATGATACCCTGGTAAAGTACTCGGGTTGTGTGATTAATTTCGGTTTTACATCATTCCAGGGGTTGTTTACCATGCCTGGGGCCAATTGCCATGGAGGAATAGGATGTGGTGGGGATGGCGGCACCAGGGGAATAGGTGGGTTCGGTGGTCGAGGTAGCAACTGGAGTCTCGGGTTCTCGCCTGGGGGGGGATATCCCCCAGGGTAACCACTGCACAGTGGCCCTACAGGGGGAGGCAGTCCCATGGGTGGCCTCTTTGGCACTGTCGATTCCTTTCCCTTGTCAAGTTTAGAGGGTCCCACCCCTTCGTCTTCTTCAAAGCCTTGATCTGTGCCTCCTCCTGTGGCACCGTATATACTGAGGGGATGGGGCATCGGTGCTGGTCGTTTATATGCAGCGCATCCGTCTTTCGGGTATTTGGGGTGACAGATGTTCCAGATGATGGCTGCCCGATGCCATGCGTCTACTTCCAAGATATTTTTCATCAAATACGTGTCACCTGATAGTCGGGCATCCAAGTAATCCTCTCCCACCTCAGAGAGAAGCCACTGTGGGTCATACACCATATCTTCTGCGATGATTTCGTACATGTTGTCCCAGGAAAGCAAGTCCAGGAGGGGGGGTACCACTGTGATCCGCTCAGTGAGTATCCTCTTCACGTCCCTCATCACTTCCTTCATGATCTCGCTGAGGGGCGGCCTGCTTGGCATTCCAGTGGGTGACTTCGTTGGCACTCCACTGCCTGCTGGCACGGAGGGTTCACGGTTCGTTTCCAACCTGCTGTCTTCGCTGCCTAACCTGCCGTGCTCACTCCCGGTTATACTCGGCGAGATCTGAGCAGTCCTCATCAAGTGTCTTGAAGTGGAAGTCCTCAAGGGCCTCATCGAGGTGCTTGAGATCAGTTCCGGCCCTTCGGGACCCCTCCTGAAGTCGGAGCCGGGCTGTGCGGTATCGGGCAGAGGCCTCTGCATCGGTTGGATCGGGTTCAAGGGGGAGTCTAAAGCTGAGGTCACGGACGGCGCAACGTTCTGTGTTCTGAGTGTGTGCGCTCGCCATTCTTCCTCACTCCACAAGGGCCATTCCTTCTGGGGTGAGCCAGGCAGCTCTAAGGTTGAAGTTGAACTGATATTCGGTGGTATATTGATCAGTCCACGGTCTTTGATTGATGGGCTGGGGGACCGCGAAGGCTTGCAGTGTGACTGACGGGGTAAAAGAGGGGACGTCAGGGAATTTGTCGGTGGAGGGACCTCCTCCAAACCAATCAAGGACCTGCTGTCCCTCCTCCATGTCACCCGAGTATTCGGTGGCATAATCATTGGGGGTGATAGTGTTGCGTGTGTGTACGGTAACGGCGTCTCAGTATAAATTGGGGTGAGCATCTGGGGAGTACGCTTCAATGGTGTCCCAGATTCACTCTTCGGTTTCGGCAGGGAGGGCAATGGTCCTCTGGACGGGGGTGTCCTCGGGCCCTGGGGTTTGAGCGGAAACTCCGGCCACAGGAGCTTCTTCCCCTGTGAAGACCCAACTTGTTGCGGGGTGCCATGCCACAGGGATCCCTGACTGCTCTCTTCCGCTGCCCGGTGCAATTCTTCCACCATAGGGGTCGGTTCCAGTTGGACAGGCGGTAGTCGTGGCGGAGGCCCCAAGGCCAAGTGTTCCGTCGTCCTCCTCAAAGTCATCTCTGTGGTGGTACTTTCTTGGGGTGGGGTTGACGTCAACCCACCTGACTCTGGGATCGGTTGCATCTTCCTCCGATGGATAGAGGTCACGGAGGAGGTCTTCGAGCCTGACTCTTTCAAGGTCTGTGAGCTCGTCCCCTTCGTACTCGGTGTCATTATCGCTTTCTTGGCCTTTGTCCACAGACCCTCCTTCTTCTCGTCCAATGGGAGAGAGGTCAATGATTCCTGGGGGCGAAACATGGACGTCTCCGAGTATGTCGATGCCTCGTATGTCTGTGATGTCAACGGAGGCTGCTCTTGGGGTTGGGGAAGACTCCCCGGAACCTGAGGATTCTCCTCTGGGTGTGATGGGTCGTCCATCGTGAGTCGTTGGTTGCACTGGAATGTGTGGATAAGGAATGGTTGGGTAGGGAATTGGGAGATGTGGAATATAGTGAAAGGGGAGTCTCGCCCTTCGGGCGTGGGTACAGCACCTATAGACTGCTCTGATGGCGAGTACTAGGAGTGCTCCTGCAAGTAGTCCAAAAGCCACCGCTATAGTTGGTAGCAGTTCAGCAAGTGGCATACGAGCGATCGAACAACAAGAATGGTAAGTGCAATGAGTATAGCGATAATCAAGCTAAGGTTGGTTTCATAGTTGGAACCAGTCATTAGCAGGTTATTGTTTCAAGCGGGTTCAGCGGTGCTTGTCAATGTAAGCAGTATGACTGTCAACAGTGAAATGAGCTGAAGGAGGGAAGTGAAGGGGTGCGTGTTTAGATTCGAAGGTATCCAATGTAGAACACTATGAGCAAGGCCGCAAAGAGCGGGGCCGAGATATAGGTTCTAAGGATAAGAATGACGGTTGCAACTACCATGATTGCCAAGATCAACAGGTCTCGCAATACGAGAGGCAGGACCCAAATGGTCACTGCGGCGTTTATTATGGTAGGGTAAATGTTGGGCAACACTTCGTGTAATTGAAACGGTGAGCAACGTAGGTCGAGCTTTGGCTAAATGTCAACAACCAACTAATATCGACTTAGATCGAACTAGGATCACCACTCGCACTTCGGTGGATGATGCTCTAGCAAGTCAAAGGCGACATAGAAAGTCGATCGAGGACTTAGGTAGTCATGGAGTGAGGAGCTTTGAGTTGGGTAGATTAAACCTTAGCCGAAGCTGGGGTTCAGACCAGCTAAGGCTCTACTTAAATACACTTTGATACACTAATAATAGTACTGTGGGAAGTGGTCCGTAGTGATCGCATATGAATAATCAGGCTGAGTAAAACGGAGAAAAAGAAAAGAAACAAATAAACCATAACAATTCTAAACAGGACTTAGTCATGGCACTGTACCTGATGGGCATGCATGACAAGGAGGCCAAACCCTATACCCAATGCCTTAGGCTCTAACTTACAAGCATGCTCATGGGAGCTAGATAAAACTTTGAAGATTGCAGTGACACTGAGAACAGTTAGCACACTCACTAACTGTGACATGTTGTACCTGAAAATCCAGGGAAATCCTTAAGCGAGATGACAGCTATCACCGGCACAAACTTGGGCAATGGGCTTCGGCCGAAGTCCACAAGCCCGCATCCCATTGTTCTGAGTCCCATTGTTAGAAGACTCACTTGTTGCCATGTCTATGAGAAGCCTCTGTGAATCCAAGAAAGAAGTCTTGAATGACATATGCTAGGACTGATAGTTCCGGGTGCCTAGACCTGCTGGTCACTAGAGAACAAGCCCACAGGTGTCAGGAGAGCACCTCTTGGCACACGTTTAGCGAGCTCACTATAGAAATGAGACTAAAACTGGGAAGTCTGACTCAGATGCTCAGTAAGGCGGCAGTGGCAACATGCTACGCATGTAGGAGTCTGGGTACTGCATGACATTTGTAATTCTAATTCCCCTGTAGTATAAGTAGGCTGGTTACAGTAGGTAGAAGCCAAGTTTTGAGCCCCTGAGTTCCCGTGCATGCGTTGAAGGTGGTACTGTAACAAAGGATCAGTTTGTGACTTCGAGCTGTGCATAGAATTAGTGAGCTCACTCAGAGAAATACGAGATACCCTTTTGATAAGACTTTTGAGAACTTAGTCAGAGTGAATATGAATCAGTGACACTGTTTCTGTGCTGTTAAGTGTGATAAGTCTGTTCAGAGAATGTGTTGAAGTGGAAATCTGAGTTCTGTTCTGTTCTGTTCTGTTTCAGTCTGTTCCGTGTCAGTTCTGTTCAAAGTTCCGTTTCTGAATCTGTTTCCGAGCGCTTCTGAAGTGTTCTTGAGTCGAGATAACCTGCTGGAGTTAGTTGGAGAACCCCTACATACAGTTGTGTAGCAAGCGGGCTAAGTCAGTGCTTGCCTGTGGTGTTCTTTTAGCGAGCTCACTAAAGTTTCAGCATGTATTGCCTCTGTTTCTGTCGGGATCAGTGTCCCTTGTGTATTATAACTCAAATCTGCCTTGAAGGTTGCATCGCGCCAGTGAACGACCTTCCTGTAAAAAGTTCCTAGACTTAGGAATTCATTAGAGAAAGCTTAGCTTCGCTAAGAGCACTGAGGATAAGGGAAACTCTTCAAGATATTGAAGTATAGTCGGATCACATTAGAAATAATTGCTCCCCCTAGAACTTACGAGGGTGATTGTAGTTTGTGTAGTTGTGTGAGTGTGTGTGTGGGTTTTTGAGGTTCGCCTTTTAGCCTGCTCACTATTCCACAGGTGCCCACAGCCAGCCTCTTCACTGTCCGTAGAGTTCCATCTGCTCCATACTCAGTTCAATTTTCTGGTACAGTTGATTATGCTTGCATAGGTATCATAACAAGTTCCATACTTTTTTCTTTCAAATATAAAACATCGTCTTTAAGCAGGACCTTACGGACTGATGTTGTCCCACGAAAATCACACTCAGCATGTCCTTTATATCAGATGGTGTCCTTGGCAACACGCTTATGGTGGAAACCAAATTAACATCATGAGCACATGTATTTCTGTAAAACACTCGAGATTGAGCCAGATCAGCAGAGCCATAAAGTTGAGAAACATGCATGGTACATCTGTATACAGAACAGACCATCTCTTCCACCCATGTTATATCCTTGAAGTATGCAGGCAAAGCACCTCGGAACAGCTGATTTCTGATTGCATATTTGGGTAGATGCCCATCTTTCAACATGTTCTCACAATACATACATATATTGAACAACTCATCAATGCAACCAGACGGTTCCAGCATACAATTGCACAACACAGGATGGTTGACACCTTCAGGTCGACACTCAGTACCATCAACAGCTAACAAATCCAAATGTAACTTCTCCCTGAAAGTTTCATCCACCTCAGCAAATGGATAGCGCATAGCCTTTAAAGATTCACCTTTATGGAGGTCCCTAGAGCACACTGCACATGGAAAGGTGTTGGGCCAACACGTCTTCTCTCTAAACATGTGAACACAACTGTCCTTGATGTCCTGGGGCACTGGCAAGGGCCAGTTATCTTTTATATGGCAAAAGTGAGCTGCTAAAGATTCAGCATCAACATTGCATGACTCAGCAGTTATGTTTTGACGATGTTCATGACGGCTGCAAGTATGCATCAGAGGAAGCAAGATGCAACACAGCTGAACACCATATTCCATCTCCAGAAGATTGAACAGAGCAGTTTGCAATCAAAGATCGACAGAGGCTACATAATGATTAAGCATATCAGCTATAACATATCCAGGCAAAGTGATACCATCATCCCACCTTCTCTGAAGGCTGTCCACCAGGAAATCTATGTAATCGTCTCTTGAAATCTTCTGTCACCATAGACGCCGGGTGAAATGAAGCAAGTTATTGACAGATTTTAATGTGTCATTGGTTATCTGTGGCAATCGAATACCCTTTTTCTTCACAAGTGACAAGAAATTTAACTCAAGATCAGAGAAGAGGGGATTAGGTTCAGAAACTCCTGGTGCATACTGCTGCAGATCTGGATGCCATCAAACAATACCAGAGAATACACTGTCTCCAAATCGTATCCGAAAGATCTCAAACATGAGAAATCAATGCTGGCTGCTTCTGGCGGGGGTGGCAGACATGGTAGAATGAAGGTCAAGCAAGGCAGAATCAGACATGACAGACAGTTCCGAGGCATATGCCATAAAGGAGGCGATCACTGCCTTAATCACTGAACTGCATTTCCAATCTGCCTGTGCTACAGCAACAACACCAACCATCTCTTCAACAGTACAGCAATCTAAAGAGTCTGACAAATGATGTTCCTTGGTGTATATCCATGATGGATTGGTCTGCTCTCTGGCAAGTATTCTCTTGTCATACATCCAAGGATAAAATGTAGAGGCTTCCACCTCACACCTAGGCAGCTGAATACATTGATCCAAAGCAAGACTTTCCACAATGAACACATCACAACGTTCATTGTACCTGACTGTGAACGTCCGGCCATGAACAGGCACACACTCACTGAACACTAGATATAACCATCGGCAAACACTGCCAGCCGTTGCAAAATGAACATGCTGATTTAAATTTTCAGGTTCATACAAAGATTGTATGCTATGATTATATCCAGAATACATGCTATCACAAGGAGATTTGTTAAATACAAATGAAACCATAATAAAACAACAATAAGGTCAACATGGAGCGATAGCACTGAGGTGGTTTCTAATAGACCACAGAGTGGAGCTGTAGAACAGACAGAAGATGATGCAGAGCATATAAAAGCAACAACGAAAGCAATAAGTGTGTGCAACGTGCAAAATCATTCAACAAGAATGATGATGATGGGAAGAGAAAAAGCAAACAATTGCCAGCAGCACACCCTTTTAAGCATGACATTGATGGTTTTCCAAGTATGTCGAGATATACGTGAACCAATAGGGAGTTATCGGAATGAGAGGAGGTCTCAGCCACAACGGCAGCCAAATGGCAATCGAGCCGTTGCATGCCGTGTGCTTGCCAATCACTAAAAATTACTTAAGCTGACCCTGAGTATAGCCTCTGTCCAGACAGTTTGGCGCTACTCACAACCAGTTAGCCCCTGCTATAACCCTCTGTCATTTCCTCATTCTTTGGAAAGAATCAGGGATGCAGCAAGGATGGTGTCCAAAGGTCCTTCATGGGAGAATGAAAAAAGGACAAGCTCACGGAATGATGCATGGTATAGGCATCAATGGGGTAGTGGTAACCTGGGTCATTGCCATATTTGACTAAACTGTACGCATCTCTTCAACCTGCCGGGGGTTTGATTCCCCCTTGATGCACTACGTTGCGGATATTGTTTGTCTTGCAGTTTTTTTAACTCTGACTCCGAGTCCCAATTCATCAATTGACAATTGGACCCTGGAATCACTCCAAAAAAATTAGAAGAAAAATCCATTTCAGTCACCAGTGCCACTTCCGATTCCTGTGCTTTAATGATATGTCGGGCTTCGGACCGGGGGCGTTATCTCCAAGTGAACATTGAGCAAAGCATTGGTTTATTTTTCTAGCTATACAGCAAGTGGTGGTGTGTAACGAGGGTGGGATACCGAATAACCTGAGAGAGTCAATAATATTGGATAACCTCTCCTGACATGCACGTCCAACTCGCCGCAGTCATAGCGTGAGCATTGGAAGAAGCGCCATGCTCGTGGCTTCTAGGTCGCGGTCGCGGTTATTGTCGTTCTTGACTCCGATTGAGTGCCAGTGTTGCATAAGTGTATGCACCAAGATTAGATGGAGATCGTGGAAGGAAGATGCCCTTAGGACGCGTAAGATGAGAATGCGTAGACACACCCCATGGGGCAGCCACAAAGACGATCCCCCTAGATACGGGTGCGGTAAAAAGCGCGGGCTCGGAGTCTGTGTCGAGGCTGTTGGACTTGCACCAAAGTCGGGCTTTCGCTCTTGAAAGGAGCTTGATGCTTTACTTGGTGTAGCTGACCTGCACTTACTGACGTGTCGATGTCCAGTGGCCAAGATTGGTGCCATGGAAGGAAAATGCCCATCACGGGGAGCGTTCGCTGGCTTGCTCGTTGGGAGCTTGGGTTGGATGAGAATGGGGGATAGGCAGCGCATGGGGGCTTGAGTAGAATCGAAGGGTGTATCGGGCAAGATCGGGTGTCGGCAGGAGCTTACGCGTACGTCGGACCTGGGCATGGGGTTTTCCAATGAGAAACGTTCTGCGGAGGGACACCGCAGCGAGGGTCGGGAGGACTTGGACAATGTCAGATTCAGAACAGCAGGCAAGGGAGATTGAGTGTGGCGCACGTCTGCCTCTCAGATTCCACAGCCTGAGATCTCGAGCCCTTCTAGGCTTTTCCATTTCCATGAACTGCTGCTGTCTCGGATCTATACCCTAACTCTTGAACGAGCCCGGTCCCACACCACGTAAGGATCGACATCGAGAAAAGGTTCCGCGGAAGCAAATCCAGCCTGGGGAACTATGAGCTGTCAAAGAGCAGAAAGTATTGTCCTGAACGTGGCGTAGCAATGATGTGAAATCCGAACTAGACACTGCATTGAGGACGCAAAGTATCAATAGACAAGCCAGCGTACATATAGAGACCGGAAAATGGAAGCGAGATCTCGGAATTGCGGTCGAATTGGCCAACAATAGGACAATCACCTGACGTAGCAATTGCTGCTTGAAAATTACTCGGTATGTAAATTGGTGGGTGACCTACAAGGACAAACAACATGATTATCGCCATGTATGGTAAAAAATTGGATTGGCTGTTGGACGCGATTGGTGTGAGCAGACGGGGTATATAATGCCCAGGGGGAGGAGGGTACACTCCCAGAAATTTCCCCCGCCTCCCGCTAGTACACGATGATTGGCAAACGCAACGCCTCCAACGCTGAAAACATCCCCGTCCGCCGTGCCTCGTCTACAGGCAAACACGTAGCAGCGGCCAAGTCCCTACCAGCCCCCCTCCACAAGCGAAAACGCGCTGTGGCCAAACCGGGGCAAGTAGTCTTCGATGTTAAAACCTACCGCGCATCCAAAGAGGCCCTCATCACCGTCCAGCTCGCGTCTAGGCTCGGGAAGCCGGCGCAAGTCGCTCTTCCTGAAGCGCCCACCCTCTTTGCGCGGGACAAGCTCGTCTCGGATTATGGCGTGCGCCTGTTCTACACGCTCTCCCTCCTCGCACCGAGCACCCCACCCAAAGACACTCCTATCCCCCCAACCTACCCCGTCTCCCTGCCTGCCAACGCGCCCGCAGAAGGCCCCTCCTACTTTCTCGGTGTCTTCGCTCCCAACTCCACTAAAGTGACCCTCCACCCCGCGCACCACGAAGTCCTCGCTGTGCACTGCCCACGCTTGCCTGGTACCATCCAGTCCTCCCCCGCAGGTCCCGAGATCCCCGTTCACCCTCTCTGCCTGCCAGACCCCCAGTCCTACGCGCTCCTCAGCCAGTACCTCTACACTCACCGACAAGACCTCCTCCTCGCGTCCCTCCTCCCACCCAGCTCACTCCCTTCCAACCCTTTCCCCACCACCGCACACCTATCTGACTCTCCGAAACTCTCCGGGTCCGAGGTCCACGCCCAGCTCCTCGCGCTCGCAGAGTCCCTCGCGAAAGATTATACGCAGCATAAGCTCCTTGGCGGGTTGTCGACTGTCCATGGCTTGTGGAAGAATATCGTCGCTTTGGGTGTTGATGATGAGGGCTTGTGGGAAGTGATCCATGTTGCGTGGGGTGTCTATTTGACAGCGGCGGGATGGACGGATGGCCGGCTTCATCTTAGGAAGGGCGAGTTGATCCCCGGTTATAATCAGTGATTTCTATGCCTCCATGCTCTCGATGATTTTTTTTCCTTTGTCGTTTTGTAGTTTTCCATTCGCTCTCCACACGCCATCCATCGCATATGTTGTACAACCACTCGCATTTACTTATTACTACTTATGATATATGGATAGAAGAATATGACAACACTTGTACTACATCCCTCTCGTGTGATTTCCAGTGAGCTTGACGAGTCACGATTAGTAAAAGTTTGAAGTATTTTATCATTCAAAAGTTGAAAAAACCGCAACCAAAAAAGCCCTTCCGATTTATGCATCAAGGGGGAATCGAACCCCCGGCGGGTCGACAGGAGCTACTTACACGATAAAGATGGCAACGACCCAGGTTACCACTACCCCATTGATGCCCATAACGTGGAACTTCCCACTCCCCTGTCCTTTCTCTTTCCCCACGAAGGACCTTTCGGACGCCAGGTTCACAGTCTTCATTGCATCATGACCAACCAAAATGATTCTTCCGCCTCGCGCGATGGCTCACATGCGCACTGGCATCTTTACCGGTACCCCCCATCCCCGAACCTGGTCCTAAAAATGGACTTGAAGCAACTCGAGACCTCCCCCAACCCTCTACCAAGAGGGTGTGAGTACGACAAGGAGCAAGGAATATTAATTTGAACGTGCGTACACTCCGGATCCTTGGACCGCAGTCCTGGGTCCTGACGCAAAAACGATTCTGATTCCGCCACGACGCGCGTTGTCTATTGATACTTTGCCTCCTCAATGGAGTGTTTGACTGCGATTTCACATCCTACGCCACATCCAGGACAATACATTCAGCTCACATGCATAGTTCTCCAAGTTGGGATTTACTTCCGCGGAACCTTTTGCACGACGTCGATCCCTTACGTGGTGGGGACCCGGCTCGAGTCTCCGAAGGACATCATCTGTTCGAGACAATACAGCAGCTCATGGAAATGGAAAAGCCTAGAAAGACGAGATCCTTGAGATCTAGGTGCGCTACACTCAATCTCCCTTGCTTGCTCTTCTAACAATGGCATTGTCCAGTTCCTCCCCTTCCTTCATTGCGGTGTCCTTCCCCACGGCTTCCTCCTCGTTAGCCCGCGCCCACGCCCAGCTCCGACGTACGCGCCAAGCAGGCAGACCTCACCAACCGGATTCCGAATCCCGATCTCACCCGACGCAGTCGTCGATTCTACTCAACCACAGTGCACTGGCAAGCCCCCATTCTCATCCAACCAAAACCCCCCAACAAGCAGCTCTCCGTGCTAGACATTTCCCTTCCGCGGCATCAATCATCGACACTAGATAGCTCCACCCACAAGCAAAGTATCAAAGAACGAGGACCTTGGTGCCAACGCGACATAGACTCGGATTAGGGGATCGTCTTTGTGGCTGCCCCGTGGGGTACACCTACGGCACGAGCTCCCGAGTCTCGAGCGAGTGCGCCTCGGGATGTCAATCCTGCCCTTCTGATTTGGGTGTCCGTCCCGGCCTGTGAACAATCCCGACAACAAGCGCGACTTAGACGGCCCTTCTTCCTTGCCTGGGAGTTGGACAGCGACGAGTTGAACGGACAAGTCAGGAGAGACTATCCCTTACCAGTTCTGGTCGTCGATATCGCACCGTTGCTCGGTATTTCATCCTCTTCGCATGGCTATATTGTTGGAAAAATAAAACCTGCTTTGTTCCTTCGGACATAACGCCCCGAGGCCCGATATTCAAAGCGAAACTGAGTTAAGAGCTTAGGAATCAAGTTAACACTGAACACTCCAAAATTCAAAAAAAAAATTGAAAGACGACCATCCTCTTCGGCAGTGCATCAAAGGGGAATCGAACCCCCGGTGGGTCGATAGGAACAGAATGGCAACGACCCCACATTTCACAGAATCAGAATGGATTCAGAATACGGAATCACCATGTCAGAATCTTAATCCAGGTTGACGATATCATGTCCTGGACCTATCAACTTCTCACGAGTACTGGCTAATGTGTGATGGCACGCTCCGCCGGCCGCCGCGAGCTACCATACCTATCGCTCTATCCTCGACCAGTACTGCTATTCAGTTGCTCGAGTAAGATGCACCTCGTTTTGTTCGCTGACGAGTAGAACGCAGCGTCAGTAAAAATTACTAACCTTGTCCTCCCTCCCTGTGATTTGTCTTCACGGAACCTAAGTTCTCATGCAGTTCAAATCTCCCATGCTCCCTTTCATGCAAGCTCATGATCAATCTCGACGTCAATACCATTATTATTCCATCATACCACAACTGCATAGCTGCATCAGTATAGTGATAATGGCTATGTATGACTCGAACAGGATACACTAGGGAAAGTTTCGGGACGGAAAGAGTTATGTAAACAGGAATACTCAACGGATGATCTGTCCGAGTTGAATGCCGCGGTGTGTGGAGATTACAACCCTGGGTATAGCTGGAACTGTTTCGTTACTTGCCATACCAATAAAAGCAAACAAAAGGGTTAAAATGAAAAAAGACAAGGGTGCGTACTGTATATATGCGCTATGTTTACCTCTGACATCGGTTTGCACAGTGGTATCCTCGCCAAGATCGTGACTGCCTCCTGTCGTCTCCATGATTTCCTTGCCTGGTTGGTCCCGGTATTCTCCTCACCAAGGTTCGTAACATGCTTCACCTTACCCACAATTGTCTCCATGAATCCCCTCCGACTGGCTATGGCATTATCATAGTCCGCTTCGTATTTGTCAGTTTGTAGGCCCTGACAATGAGACGAACACGTCAAGCTTTGGATGGCCACGCCGGAACGCTACAGAAATTATCGACCTCTTGCGAACACACTTGTCACTGAAATGGATTTTTCTTCCAATTTTTTGGAGTGATTCCAGAGTCCAAACTTTCGGTCCCTGGTCCCAATTGAAGAACCTGGAATCAGAATTTTTTAAAAATTGAGACAATAATAGCGCCCTAGCATAGTGCATCAAGGGGGAATCGAACCCCCGGCGGGTCGACACAGTACATATGTAATCGATTGAGATGGCAACGACCCAGGTTACCACTACCCCATTGATGCTCATACCCTATGTTCTCCCGTGAGTCTGTCCCTTCTCCTTCCCTTCCGTCAAGTCCACCATTCTTGCTGCATCATAGCCAACCAAAAATGATTCTTCCGCCTCTCGCCCTATTCACCTAGCACTGACATGGACACCTTGGCTCCCCATATCCTCGTCCAACAACTGGATAACACGATACCGGACTCAAGACATCCACCGACCATGCCTTTTCGCAGTGTCGGTCCCTCCAAGAGGGTATGAGTACGACAAGCAGCAGGAAATTTAACTTGAAGGGTGCGTACACTGTCTATCCTCCTTTGCGCGGTTCTAACTTCCGCCATGTCCTACCTCGTTGCGGTTTGCTTCCACAGAATCAATGTTCAATCTTGGACAATTCCACTTGCTCGTGGTACACTTCCGCTTGTCTACTTTGCGTCCTCGATGCAATGTTTATTTAATTCGGATTTTATATCGACAATCGCTGCACCACTACCAGGACAATACAATGCAGTCACCTCCTGACAGCAAGCTGGGATTTGCTTCCATTGAACACTTTTCGCTTCGTCGATCCTTACGTGGTGAGGGACCCGGCTCGAGTCTCCGAAGGACATCGTCTGTTCGAGACAATACAGCAGCTCATGGAAATGGAAAAGCCTAGAAAGACGAGATCTCTCAGGCTGTGGAATCTGAGAGGCAGAGGTGCGCCACACTCTATCTCCCTCTGCTGCTCTTCTAACATTGGCATTGTCCAGTTCCTTCCCTTCCCTCACTGTGGTGTCCCTCCTCACAGCCTCTCTCCTCGTTAGCCTCGGCTCAAAACCCCGCGCCCAGCTCCGACGTACTCGCAGACGTCACCATCTGATCTCACCCGACGCAGTCGTCGATTCTACTCAACCACAGCGCACTGGCAAGTCCCCACGCACCGCCTATTCTCATCTAACCAAAGCCCCCAACAAGCAGCTCTCCGCCGTGCTAGACATTTCCCTTCCGCGGCAGCCACTAGATATTATTTAACAGCTCCACTCAAGCAAAGTATCAAAAGAACGAGGGCCTTGGTGCGAGTTAACGTTCAACAGCCGCGACATACCACGCTCGTATCTAGGGGAACAGCTTTGTGACCGCCCCGTGGGGTGTTATGATACTCCGACACAAGCTCTCGACTCGGAATCCCAACAAACAAGCGCTCCTCTTTTCCTTCCATCTACTACCCCAGTCCTGGCCCGGGAGTCGGATACATCGCGCGGTGGGTTAGGCGTGCATGTCGGGAGAGACTATCCCTTGTCGACATCACACTCAGATTATTCGGTATCCCACCCTCTTTACACACATAGCTAGTAAAATAAACCTGCCTTGTTCCCTCGAACATAACGCTCCGAGGTCCGACATTCAAAGCGGAACTGAGCTTCAACAATGAGTCGAACACTGAATACTCCAAAATTTAAAAAATTGAAAGGCGCATGCTTCTGGCACAGTGCATCAAGGGGGAATCGAACCCCCGGCGGGTCGATAGGAATTGCGTACAATGCAAGAGATGGCAACGACCCAGGTTACCACTACCCCATAATCTGTATTCTCACGCTTTGTCCGTCTCTTTTCTCCACCAACTAGCTTTGACGCGAAATGATTCTTCCACCTTCACATCGCTTTTACTTGATAGAAGAATATAACTGCAATCACTTCCAGTGAGCTTGGTAAAAAGTACGTATACTTTATCATTCGGCCAAAAAAAACTGTTAGCTGCTCAGGAAATGTACATCATGGGGAATCAAACCCTCGGCGGGTCGACGTACCGCCAGTCTATAGATGTCCGTCTGCAGGATCTTTAAGTTTGACTTAAGTACTACTGGATGCTGGGAAATGTGAAACCCACCGTCCTCTGCTCTAGTCACCTTCCATGACCAACCAGATTTGACGCCGCACCGACCCTACACCTCACTAGTTGGCAGTTAACTCCTCGGCATGCAGCGGCATGGCAGTTAACTGGGCATGGAAACCCAGCGTATGGATCGGTAAACTAAAACATGAAATCGGTGTCTTAGACTAGCTTATATGACACGGTCTCTTTCCATTTCATATGGAACCTCTGCAATATTCAAGTCCCATGGCGACTCCAGAGCAGCGATCCGTACGCCTTCATGTTCATCTTCGCAACCCCGATAATGCCCCAGCTTCTAAATTTTGGTTGCCTTGTCTCGAAATCCCCATTGACAGACTGACCGAGTTATCATCAAAACCGTACAGATGGTTGTGCTATGCCGGCTACTGCATCATGGGTGTTGAAGGCAGCCTGTCTTTTTCTCCTACAGACTTGGGTCGAGTAGGGTTTGACTACGATGCCCCTTTCGAATCTACCCTTACTTGTGGCCTCTACTTCCATCCCGGCGGTCCAATATTTCCCATCGACCCCGACTTTGAAGAGGGATCTGTCACCACTCTTTCTGAAGACCAGTCGTCTACTTTCAGGACATCAATTATCGAGCGCGATGGAACTTGCATTGTCACTAACAACCCACCTCCTTATTGTGAGGCTGTGCATCTAATTAGGCAGAGCAAGGGAAGTGAGGTATGTCTCTCACCTTGGAATGTATTTCTTTTTCCCTTTATTAATCCAAGTGCTTAGTACATTGAAAGGTTCACACAGCGACGAGGCGATGGGCCCGGGGATATCATCACTGACATCGACGATCCGCGAAACGGCTTGCTGGTTAACCGGATGTTACATGTTGCGTTTGGCCATAGTGTTGCCATACTTCTGGTATGGACTAGTTCACATTAAGCCCCGTAACTTATAGCTCACTACAAAACAGACTCCTAACTTCATCATGAAAACAACAGACGTAGTTCCGGGGGCCGCGCCAGATGAACCTCGGTGGACCGTACAAGATTTCGCTGAACCTACAACTAGAACGGCTAATCTCCGTGCCTGGATTTCAGCTGGTCAAGCTGTCCGTACACCTCCTCGCGGTACCCAATGGCCACCTCACTGTCTGTTCGCTGCAGTATATGCTTCAGCGCTCATCACGACATGGCCTATGAAGGAATTTTTGACGCAGGTCAGATCGATGTGGATGGACACTTTCTATCCCAAGAGTAGTGGCAGGGATCAGGAAAAGGCTGAGCGGCGCAAAAGGAAGGCTGAGAGGGAGAGAGAGAACAGACACGATCGTATGCTGGGAGATGAGGTTGATGTGTTCGATGTCCTTCTCATGTTGCGGGAGATAGGTGCCTACCGTGACAACATGGCTGGTGATTCCGTCCCCCAGCCATCCTCTGCTGATGAAAGTGTGCAGGAGAAGGTCCTTCCTTGGCTTCAAGGCATCCATTAAGTAGTGAGGAGATACTATAGTGCTCTCAGTTTGAAGATGTGACTTGTTGTTAATCAAGAAGCTAGATGTTCAACTTGAGAGTGCTATACCGACGAGAATATGGTACAGGAACCCTAATTACGTCTATACTAGTAGCGAATAATTCGGTGACGCGGCCAGAAAGGCTGATATGGTTGCGTTCAACGGAACACCTGCTGATCTTACATTAGAATATCGATTATTAGCAGCTCTCATATCATGGGATACATACCGGTATGTAACGGTGCGTTCCGTTACACCCTAAACCAAACACTTCGACATCGCATTTACTTGGATAGAAGAATCGCATTCCTCTCTCGTGTAATTCCAATTGTCCAGTGAGCTTGACGAAAGTTGGTAAAAGCTTTTAGAGTACTTTATAAAAAGTAACGTCTAAAAATGTTCTTCACTCTCATGCATCAATGGGAATCGAACCCCTGGCGGGTCAGTAGGACCTACGTATACTACCTAGTGCAAGATGGCAATGACCCAAGTTGCCACTACTCCATTGATGCCTATACTACCCTTCTTCTCCCTCCTCTGTCCTTTCTTCCTTTCCCCAACGTCGTCATGTTCACCGTCCTCACTGCATCATGACCGACCAAAACGATTCTTCCGCCTAGCGCGCGTCCTTTACCGGTAAACCCTCTTGGGTACATCCACCAAACCTGGTCTTGAAGCAACTCATCGACATCCCCCAACCCTCTGTGAGTACGACAACTTGGAGCAAGGAATATTAATTTGAATGTGCGTACACTCCAGATCCAGTCCTGACACAAAAACGATTCTGATTCCACCATGACGCATGTTGTCTCTTGATACTTTGCCTCCTCAATGCAGTGTTTGACTGCGATTTCACATCCTACGCCATGTCCAGGACAATACATTCAGCTCACATGCATAGTTCTCCAAGTTGGAATTTACTTCCGCGGAACCTTTTCTCGATGTCCATCCCTTACGTGGTGAGCTCAAGACATCGCGTATTCGAGAGTCAGGGTAAAAGACCGCAACAACACAGCAGGTCATGGAAAGGCCTAGAGGGACAAGAGTCGGCGTCGTGGTGCGCCACACTCTATCTCCCTTGCTGCTCTTCTAACAATGGCATTGTCCAGTTCCTCCCCTTCCCTCGTTGCGGTGTCCCTCCCTACAACCTCCCTTCTCTGGCTCACAACCCCATGCCCAGCTCCGACGTACGCGCCAAGCAAGCAGACCGCGTCATCCGATCCCGCCCGACGAACCGTTGATTTTTATCCACCAACCACAACTCAAGCCCCCGTTCAAACGTTCACTAGCGCTAGCATTACCTACTCCGCATTGTCATCCGAGGCAAGCTCCCAACAAGTAGCTCATTTCCTCAATCATCGCCACTGGATATCGACATACAGCCCAGCTCCCCTGGCTGGCAACAACCAGAATATCGGGCCTAGGTTCCAAGTGAGGTATCGAGAACGAGGGCGCGATTCTGGTGCGGGACGACGTAGACTCCACGCTTCATACCACGCCCGTATCTAGGAATCTGTCTTTGTGCCTGCCCCGTGGGGTATTCTCATCCGACGAGTTTTCCTTCCTTGGTGCCCATCTGATCTGGGTGCGTACTACTACTACGCATCACCACTCAAGAACGGCAACATAGAAGCCACGAGCCATGGCGCTTCTTCCCATGCCCAGGCCACGGCGGCGGGTTGGTACGGACATGTCAGGAGAGACTATCCCTTGCTGATAGCCAGTGTCGATATCACACCATTGCTTGGTTTCCCACTCTCGTTACACACCAGTCGCTGTATAGAGCTAGTAATTTGTAAAACAAACATGCTTTATTCCCTCGGACAAAATGCGCCGGCCCCCGAGGCCCGACGTTCAAACGTTCATTGTTCAAAGCGAAACTGTGCTTCAATCGGGGGAGTCGGAACAGTGAACACTCAGTACTCCAAGATTAGAAGAAAAATTTGACAGGAAAACACCCTCCGAATGGTAGGTACGTCAAAGGAGAATCGAACCCTCGGTGGAACTTGGACCTCAGAGATGGCAACGATCCAGGTTACCACTACCCAACATATTCGCACGTTTGTCTGTCTCTTTCCTCCACCAACTAGTTTTAACACGAAATGATTCTTCCACCCTCACACCGCTTTTACCCCCAAAGTTACAAGTTTACCACTTGGATATAAGGATATAACCACAATCATTTCCAGTGAGTTTGGTAAAAAAAATTTTATCATTTGGCCAAAAAAAAACTATTAACTACTCAGGTATGTACATCATGGGGAATCGAACCCCCGGCGGCTTGACGTACCACCAGCCTATAGATGTTCGTCTGCAGAACCTAACTGGATGCCAAGAAATACGAAAACACCATCCTCTGCACTCTCCTTCCACGACCCATCAGCGCTCAGCTTTGACGCGAATTCTTCCACCGGTCACACCGCACCAACCCTACACCTGCGCCCGTCATTTTCGACGCTCACTAGTCCTTTAGCTTTGACATCAGCTCATCCTCACCCAACGCATTACCCGGATCGATATCGGACTTGGAGCAAGAAACGTCGGCCAACCATGCCTTTTCGCAGTGTCGGTCCCTCCAAGAGGGTGTGTGCACGACAGCACACCTCAACCCAAGGCCAGGATGGGAGTATCAATGCCTTGAACGTGCTATTCTCCTCTTACCACGCAAAAAGATTCTGATTCTGCGGAATCAATTTTGGGCTCGCTCTTGGTACACTTCCGCTTGTCTAGGACTATTGATACTTTACCTCCTCAGTACAGTATCTGACTGCGACATTGATACGCCGCACTCAGGACAATGCATTTCAGCTCATATGCATAGTTCTCCATGTTGGGATTTACTTCCGCGGAACCTATTCCGCTGCGTCGGGATCCGGCTCGAGTCTCCGAAAGACCTATCCGAGAATAAGGGCCGCGACTCAGAGAAAGTCGAGATCCCTGAGATCTGAGAGGCAGTGTCGAGGCCACACTCAATCTCCCTCCGCTGCTCTTCTGAATCTAACATTGTTCAGCCCTTCCCTTTCTCCTCCTTAGGCCCGTGGACCACAACTCAAATGCCCATGCCGACGTATGCGTAAGCTCCCGCCAAGCAAACAGACCTCACCATTCGATCTCACCCGATGCACTCGTCGATCGTACCCCATTAATGATAGCCCACCCCCCCATTCGCATGCCTACTCCGCGTTCTCATTCGATGCAAGCAAACACCCTCAAGCTAGACTTTTCCCTTCCATGGACCATGGCATCAATCATCGCCACTACACATTGACATGCAGGTGATTCTGCGGAACTCTTCCCACTGACGGAAGCCCCCGATAAGCAAACATCCCCAAATCTATGGCTGGGGATAATATCAAGAACGACGTGACACTCGCGCTCTTATCTACGCGTAGAGGGACAGCGACGCGGTATCCGCCTTGCTTGCTGGCGTAGGATGGCTAGCCTCTCAAGAATGTCCTCCAAGTTCAGCCGCGCACTCCGCTGTAAGATCAGGTGCGTCTATCCTCTACTGTATCCTCATTTCCACAGTTCTAACCTCTGGCTCTATATTCACAAGTGGATTATTTGTTTCCGCGATATCAATCTCGTCCATCCGATCTCAGGCTGTCACGGCGCACTCGATCCCGTTACATCTGAATCTGTATTCACATCTGACGCAAGCAAGCAAATGCTCCTGGACGTTTTACTCAGGGAATCATCTCGGTCACAGTGCAGTCTGATCAAGAACCAGTAGAAGACGTTCACATCAAACCTCGTACACAATCGGCGACTCCGACCCAAGCTTCTGTCGAACAAGCAGAATTTACCATCCAATCTCACCAACGCACTCGTCGATCTTAGAGCTCGCTTCTGTTTAGTGATCCGTGGTCTGCGTCAGGGAAAGTCTTGTTTTGTTTCCACTCCTCTCGGCGCCAGATGCACGGTGCTCATGTCACGCTCCTCTCTCGTTGATTGGAACCCAAGAGGTGGCCAGCATACTAGTACGTGAGTATTTAAGCGCGCACTTACGACGTTATATTCATGGCTTAACATAGATCTTATTTGATGACCACTCCTTCGTATCCTGGTAGTGCATTTTTTCCCTCCTACGCTACCCTCAGAGTCTCACTGCCTTCTATGCTCAACGCCCGCTTTCTCATCCGACACAAGCAGGTGCACAAGAACGAGAACGTTATTCTGCAACGCAGTACTCCTTCCGAGTCCTATGACCCCACTAACCCCACTACAAGCTCCTGAGTCCCAACAATCAAGTGTCCCTGTGATCAAATCGTATTTTGCGGATTCAAGGTGAGGTTTTTAATCATTGTATGCGCACTTGGAAGCCTGAGAGTATTGACTGAAGATGGAGTTGTAAAATTGCCGTCAAGTTCTACCACCGCCCCATTGATACGCCTTTCCGCCTGGCTGGATCATGATGTTTCCATTTTACAGCACCACTACCCAGCAAGCGCCCACGCCCGTCTGGATCTCAAACGCCATGCTTCAGCTTCTTCCTTGAAGCCACGTTCCCCGTTTTGCGAGCCTTGATGTTAGACCTATCGGCGGTGCACATTGCATATGTATCCAGCCAGTGTTGATGAAGACGGTGCGAGACGATGCTATCCTTTCTACCGATGTTGTCCGTCACTAATATCAGGGATAGAAGAATAAATAATACTATGCTTTGTATTGCAATCCTCTCGTGTGAATGCTCTGGAGCCCTGAAGCACTTAAAAGCCCCCAATCCAACAAGTTAGAAAATTGGTTATCGTCCGATGAAAAATGCTCGAACTACGCGATGTATATATAGCTCAGCGCATCAGCAGGGAATCGAACCCCCGGCAGGTCGACAAACCTAACTTGTATCAAATGGCAACGACCCGGGTTACTACTACCGAGGGTGCTTCGCCGACAATTCTGGGCAAGCTCGGTGCATTCATGCTTCAGTTTGGGGATATCTTCAGGCCAATGCAAACGCCGAGGCATTCTTGAATTATTCTTGAACTAAAACATTGTCTGCGAATATTTAGCACCCCGCACCACCGACGCTATCACATGTCGTGCCGATACTAGGTGACATTTTTCACACCATAACTGGATGTATCTCCTTGGGTTGGGATGTCGACTTGGAGGAATGTTGTATTTGTAACTTCGCAGACCTACGTCACGCTGCCTCTTGGATTGAATAGGCTGGACCCATTTCATGGCTATATATCCTTGTCTTTTTGTTGCCTCTATGGTGCCAAAGAAGATTCCCATTCTGACACACAAAATACTCGCATTGGTCCGTGTCTTCCTCGGATCTTTTTGAGGATATATACCCACCCCTTCCCCAATGGGAGGAATCCATGCAGGGACAAAAGACGCTGTGTGGAAGCGACTGCGGGTAACCAATGGTGATCCGTATACCCTCTTCAAAGATGCTGTGGTGGTGGCACAGAAGAATACTTCGGGGCATGCAGTACCAGTTTCATTTCCAACACTTTCTATTGGCTGCGCTTATGGTAATGCTATCGGTCCGTTTTCAGCTTTCCTGTTGTGATATTCATACTTCTCACTAAGATAGAAGGAAATGAGTAATTAATCATCTTGTATTCTTAAGCAGGTCGTCAATACTCAGCAACAACATTGTGACTGTGGCAATGAACATACGCCACCGTACACAACATGTTGACGAAAATGCGGTGCATAGTACAGCTTAAAGAGTGTAGAGCGAGTTCCAGAGAATGAATAACCTGTCGATATTCTGATACCCTCTCAGGGTGATTGACGATCACAATCCGCGCGCTGGAGCACGAGGCGCTAATGGGATGTGCATTCAAACATATCTCAGCCCTCTCTACATAGCTTTAGAGCGTCTGCACGTCAATAAACCGACTCGTATGAAACACCTGAATCTAGCCGGATAACGGACCAAGAAAACGAGACGCCGACTGATGTTATGATGAACAGCAAAGGCGCGCCCGTTGACTCCCGACCCTGGCGGTTCGTGCCCGGGAATTGAAAGATTTCGGATAACCACCACGTGGACAGGACCACTCGATTGAATGTCGAACGATCATCCTCCTCTCCACAGTCCAGTTGTTTTCTGACACGCGAACAAGTCCCAATGCTACCGACCCGTTCATCTCTACAGATGGTTTTCACCGAATGCAACAATTTGAAACACTGATCCACCGCACTGCATGCATCTGTTTACCAGTCCAACCGTTAAGAACCGAACTTACTACCGCACCCTGGCTGCCCTGATCTGTAGACACAGCGGTGGAAATACCCGTCCCATTTCCTACACCGACAGATTCAAACTAGCCCCCTTCGCGGCTTCGCCGTTACATATTCCTCGTCTTGTTGTTACCTCTACGCAGTCAGCAAAACACCCTTTTCCTGATCCGCGGAAGGTCCCCCCGGACCACATTGACTTGCTTTCCTTACACTTCTTCGGGGATATGTGCCACTTATCCAACGGAGGACATTCATGCAGGTCCCAAATCGGAACTTCTGCCTCATAGATGACTGCCGCAGGTAAGTAGGATGGTGCTTACCGTTTATGCATCTGTGCCAATCTGTTCTCGTTAGTTCTGCTTTTTGTCGTCGACATTACAGTCGACCATCACATTATTGATAAATGGCCGATATACTTAGGTATGAAGCTAGTCATCTTGTGGTGTTGAGCCGCCGCGGCCCATGCAAGGATCCATACTCGAATAGCAGAGTTGTGATTGTAGAGATGATGACAATCTGCTTTTGCTACTGTCGCACTCACCGCACAACTCAAGGGGGAAGATGGATGAGCAGTAGGTTTCCAAATTAGGAGGAGCCGACCCTTACAGCTTGTACGACTGCCCCTGTTCGCTAAAGGTGGGCGTATCCTCTTAGAATGGCTGATGTGCTAGAATAGAGTCAGGACGGAAGGTGTCAACAAGGTCCACGTTATGCCGCTTCTTTTCTCCATGTAACAGGCTTCAGAGTGTCGATGAGCAAACTCGTGAAGCCACCACCTCGCCGCGCTTCTTCCTTAGACGGCATTGCCAGGACCCACACAGTACTGTATACATGTCAAGACCGATCGGTAACCAGGGAGTCCTCGGCCATGAGCTCGAAGATGTCTTTGATCGCACTCCTGCCAGACGGCTGTCGGTCTCTTCAATGCGAGGCAATTGTTTTCGTGCATACTTGTTCTCACAGTAGGCCATTCTACGCCGCTGCCGTCACATAATAAGCTGCTTACTTTGTCAGGATATCATTGTTTGGGTTATCGTACGCGGAAGTATCTATATTTCCCTTTCGATAGCCAAGCGCATCCTGAGATGGTAGTACAAGGCACGTCTAGGTGGTGATCCCAATACAAAGGGCTTCTGCCACACGCACCATCCTGAGTGAATCAGTCGGGGAAAGGAAACGGAAGGGGTGATTGCGACTCGGCAAACGGTCAGAAAGACCCTTTTCCGCGACTCAGGATGTTACGAGTCAATAGAATCTCGATTCTCAGGCACTACGTGGTAAATTATTGTCGCCTTACATTGCAGGCGGTGATATAGTAGCAACCGTTGTTGAAAAAAAGGCTGTCTTTTTTTTTCTGAAGGAATATTTCCAACAGCATCAATCAACCTTGCTCAGAATCGGGTCTTCCCTGACTCAATCCAATGCAGCTTTGGAGGCACGTGTGCATAGATCCCAGAAAAGTTCCAGAGTTTAGGAAACCGGTGTGAGAAGTATAAGGTACAAAAAACTTGGACAGCTCTTGTGTATGCTGTAGCCTCTTATTTTTACTTTCGGACGACGGAAAACCAATTGATAATACAACTGACAACCTTTTAAAAAAAAAGCTTTTGGAGCTTCGGGGCCTGTGAAAGTCTGGAAATCTCAGAATAAAGGGATACAGTGAGATCAGACGCCCATTCCTCAGACGAAGTAATGCAAACAACTTAAATCTTCATACAGATCGTTGAGGTATGGCTTACGAGACTACTACGCGAGCTATTCTTCTCTTTCGGAGCCTAAAGTTAGATGTCAGGATTGTTTCAGTTACACGTATTCGTAACCCCTCCCTGCTTCCTTCCCGTTGAATATTGATTTTGTTACCTGGGGTATTTATTCTCGTTTCATGCCCAAGAAGGAAATAAATCGGACACCGTCTTACCGCGACGCATGATCGTGCTGCGGTACCGTACACGCCCTGGAATTGATTCAGTCTGGATCGAACATATTCAAGATTTAGGGATCTGCATTGCATCCGTGTACAGTCAGGGATGCATATACAATTTACCCATAGCCGACGGTCCAATTCTGAATCGCCTTCATTACTCTTCGCTAGAACACCGTTCTCCTAGGCACGTCACTCACAATAACTTTGTAATTACTTGCTTGAAATGATACGGATGTCTCGGTGCATCCTACCGCCTAGAGACCTGTTGGCCGAATGGATCATTGAAGCGTCCTTGTATACACAATCAATGTCACAATGTGCCGTACTTTTTACATCCTTGCGAGACTATAAGTAAAGCACAGAGCAGATTTCTTTGTTCATTACCGTCGGTCTTTTCGGCGCGATATAGTGGAAACGGTTGTATTCGACCACACTTTACTGTGCTTTCACAAAGGCACGTATTTGTGCATATCTATACTTAATACCCTTGCTTAGGCATTCCATATCTTTGGCGCTGGGACGGATCGTCAAAGACACGGGTTCCGTCGAAGAGCTCGGGATACATCTGGCGAAAGAGTACGATATGGCCGATCCCGCACAAGTTCTACCGAAGGCCGAATGGAAAGCCCCATGTAATCGTGGCGCCGATCCTATATCAATGTCGAGAGCGGGGTCCAACGGGACTTCCCATATTCACCTCGAATCTGAACAAAGAGTTCATCAGTATCCTTTGCGGGCAACAACGGCACAGTCGGAAGTTGTGGGTCTACACTTACTTTCGCTGGCTGTGATTACTACTGATGGGGAATAATGTAGCCACAGCCGCGCCTTGACCCTAGTCGATTTTGGGCTTTTCTCGTTGGGATCGACGGGTATTCATCCAACCCATTGCGCGGCTGTGTAGCAGATGCCTTAGCAATAAAGCAGTACCTTGTCGAAGACCTCCTCGTGCCTAGAGAGCGAATTCAAAGTCTTCTTGGTCCAACGGACCAGGGTCACGGCACAGCAGCCGACCCTTCTTCCATCCCTTCTCGCAAAAATATTCTATCCGTCCTTCGCAGTCTCATCACCAACCCAGACATCAAGCACGGCGATCCCATCATCATCTTTTTCGCTGGACATGGTTCTCGCTATCCATTGTCAGACAATGACGATGATCCTGACTTTTTTGACGACGACCCCGATGATGAGCACTGCCGCAAATTCGTTGAGGTGCTTTGTCCCATGGATCGGAACGCCCTCGACAGTAGCGGTGCATTCGTCCACGATATCACCGACCGGGAGATCAATACTTTGCTCTCCCAGATATCCCGTACCAAAGGTCATCGAATCACGTTTATCCTGGACTGTTGTCATGCAGGCAGTGTTACTCGAGCATTGAGCTCAGCGGAGCGGACTGTTCCCCCGCTGGAGCGTGCCTCGATCGAAGATATGTTCCTCGCTGCCGAAGAGACCCTTAGGGACCTCCCTGGTTATCGATCGATCTCCGCAGAGGATTGGACCCCAGACATGGATTCCCATGTTATGCTAGCGGCATGTAGGGGAGACGAGGTTGCGAAAGCGATGCGGGTAAAGAAGGAGAAAGGCATGGAGGTATGGAGCGGTGTATTCACGAGCTCGCTCTTAAAGGTCCTGAAGTCTGGCGTGTTGGAAGAAGGAGCGACGTATGTTGACCTCATTAACGCCCTGCCGCGACCCTCTCTCCGGCACCACTTCCAGACGCCTAATGTCGCAGGGGGACGCAAGGATACGCGACTTTGGTATCAGGATTGACGTGAAGCTATTGTTTGTAAATTTTTGGAAGTAACTGGTTCGCTTTAATCATGGTGGAATCGTTTTGTCATGTTGTCGCAGTATCGCCTAATCACTGTAGAATCATTCAATCGTAATGATAATAATATATATATCCTTACCTTCAGTGCAAGCTCCGGAGAGGCCTACTGGGTGTAGATGAACGCGATGTCAGGCTTCGACAATGATGGGTCTGAGAGATCGTACGTATTGCATAGGCCGTCTATTTGATCTCTGAGCTGAACAAAACTGTGCATTCAACTGAGAACTGCCACAACGACGTAAATTGAGAGGGCTGTGATCACGCCACGGTTGTGATATAACTCATATAGTATATTTTTACTTTCTAAAAAACCTAGCGATTCTTTATTTACTAAATAAAGAATCGCTAGGTTAGGGAGCGGGAATTAGCAAGGTAAGTTATAGAACGTGAAAACGGGAATAAACTTACAAGAGAACAAGTTGCTGATACATCTGATTAGAGTGTAGATCAAGATAGGAAACGACTTACTGAATGACCTCGGGATGAGCAAAGCTGACCGTACCAGGTCTGATAACATAAAGCTTTACGCCGACTTATGTTGGATATTGATTCTGCATTTTCACGGTAGATATGACGTCTGGATGGCTGGCCATTCTGATCCGACGCAATCGTATGCGCTGAAATCCATTCTAGTGTCGCTTCAAGGGCGTCAAATATTTAACATATCCGATAGGAGTTTATCTTTAAAATCGAAAGGTGAACATACCTCTCCTACCGATAGTCTATTCCTCGCTTCTCAATGTTCGTGCATCAATCGACGAAGTGGTACCTTTGGCGCTCTCTCATCCCATACAGTTGGGAGAGCAGACAAGTTGACCTGGTAAACAGGCGTGTCTCATTATTCATAGAGGCTGGTCAGACATCCTAATTTGTTGGAATCGGCGAGGCCCTTCAGTCGAAAATAACAGGTTGGTAGTATTGAAATTGTTCGCGTGTCAGGGAATAACTAGGATGCAGAGAAGGACAGCAAATGTGAGATTGTCAGAACAAGCAGTCGTGGTAGTCATCAACCTTTGGGGACGGCGAAATCCGGCCCGTGATTTTTTCTGCCGGTTTGAAACCTGGGCTAATGCGAACGGGTTAGCACACCAACTTGTTCCTCTTTGGGTCCGTCCCTTTGGCCCACACTCACCTTCCCTGCAATGATGCTCACTCCAGAATGTGAATTTCTCTCTACGAAGAGCCCAATTCTTTCGTTCCTCGGAGTCGGAGCTACGTGTGACCAGATGGATAACGTGTGTCCTCGCCAGTGGGTGCCACTTTGGCATTCACATTTTTCGTAGCACACTCGGTCAGGTCCTTGGCTCAGAATGTCGACTTGGAGGGATGTCTCGTCATACTTTTCACTCTCAATTCCTGCTTTGCGTCGGTGTTGGTCGGAAGGTTTGCAGCTAGGTGGAGGTGGCGCGATGGGTTTTCCAGCAGGAGGGTTGTACCCTACACCTCGGTGTTGTCGGATAGGGATAGCCATTTCCGAGCCATGTCTACGGTTCCGTACGAGTTTGCAAACAAAGATGAAATGGGACTACAGCTGGTGAGTCTATGAGACTGCTTGCTTAATATGTGAAAGCTAACATGCTGATTAGTTCGAGGATGTAGCGATGCATACTGCAGTGCCGTGACAAGCAATCCTAGTTGAATCACCTGCCGCCACTATCTGCCTGTAATCTCAATCTCTACACAACCAATGAACCGACACCTCGATTGGCTGTTCGTCGATGAAGGTCCTTTCAAAGACCGTTCCCGATGCCATCTATATTCGAGGTCATATCATTGAATGCGCAGTCAATATCTACGTACTCTAACCTCTTTTCTGTGCTGGTGAGCATAACCACCTCACATCCCCCCTTCGTTGGGGCCGCAGGTTGCGCCTTGGTTTTACTCTCTTTCCTCCGTAGTTCTGAATCCCATCTGTTCGAATCTTTATCGCGACTTGTCGAGAATCGGTGGTCATCAACACTACCGTTTCTGTAGCCTCAAGTACAGAGGAGGATTCGTCCGCGCGGCCCTATGAGCATCTCCTTGACACTGTCACGCATCCGCTTCTCAAAACCAGTCCCTGATACAGGAGAGCATGGATGAGAAATTTTTGTTAGGTCACCTGCAGCACAGCCGCGTTCCGTTCTCAGCAGGTGTACATCCCATCATCTGGCGTACGATCCTGCCGCTCGTATTCTTGGTTTCCCCGAAGGATAGCTGGTGTGACAAACCCTTGCATAGACCAGAGTTGGAGTTTATTAGGGTTCTGAACGAATTTCATAACGGAGCATACAAAAAGTACCGTCTTTTTCGTCGCGATGGCAGCGGTGGTAGCATTGTTATCCTCCCGAACGAAGAGAGGGAATGCTCAATGATTGGGACTTCGTTGGTGGTCCTGTCTCGTCAGGTCAGTCGATGGGTGAGTCATGAGCTTCTCGTCCTTGATTACGAATTTATTCCATTTACATAGGGAACTTACAGACATGTATCGACTATGATACTCGAGAACCCACTGAAAGCGAACAATCTTCAAGATGATCCAGAGTCATTTGTTGACATCGTCATGCACGCGCGACCTTTGTTACACTGACATCATACGTCAGAGATATATTTTAGCCCTAACACACTGAAGCGGGGATGACCAAGGAGGATACTGTCTGACTCCGATTCCATATCGATATTGCTACGTCGCGTCCAGGACAATACACTCGACACTCGACAGTTTGAGTTTCTGCAAGCTGCGACTTACTTCCGCGAACCTTTTTGGTGGCGTCGATCCTTACGTGGCTAAGGACCCAGCTCAGTTCAGTCCCACATCTTACTCCGGAGGACACCGCCCATTCAATATTCATGGTAGAGGGCGTACTTCAATAACTATGAGATACAGCGGCACTTGTATGGCATGGAAAAGGATGAGACAGGTTAAGGCACGTACACTCTCCGGGTTTTCTAAACTCTAAACTCTTCTAAGCTTGTTCTGTTTTCCAGCTTGTCCTCTTCGCTCACTGCGATTCACCTCTATCGGCCCTGCCTCACGAGCTTCATCGAGCCTTACTGCAGCTTATGCCCGGCCCAATCCTGCCTTCAGACTTTACCACAGTTCAATTATCCTGGTCATCCTACCAGCTTAAGTCGCCATGACATATGCCTCCTCCACATTCACATCTGACGCAAGCTCCCAACAAGCAAGCGCTCCTAGGCATTTTGCTTTCGCAGAATCAATCTTGCAGATCTCCATTCAAGAACGAGGGCACTATACCAGTAGAACGATTCCACCCATGCCCAGGTCTAGAGACCGTACTTGTGGCAGGCGTTGCGCGATGTATGCCGCGTGGGATGTACGTTTGACGGCAGCGAGTTGGATGTACGTTGGGAGCGGTTATCCTGGATTCCACGTTGTCGACGTCGATCTGTTCTCGGTTATCCGCATACGTTGTGTACACTGCTTGCAGAATAGAACGCCTTGTACTACAATCGCTCTCGTGTGACCCGGACATAATAACCGAGGCCCGACTATAAAGGCGGTTGCCACGTCCATTGTGGGGAGGCTGAAACTTCATAGTGGAGAATTTGACTTTCCATTCCTAGACGAGGCCGTATCCGCCTCTTGGGTAACACCGGTGGAATTCACCTTACGATATTTTTTCCCGCCGCTGAGGAACAGTTCACTCATAGTTTTATCCAGCACTGTTGTTATAGCAGGGTGCACTCTCCATCCACGGTTAAAAATGGTGGCATTACATCAGGATCAACGCTTTGGAACCCGCTCGTCCTCACCACCGCTCGGCCGGAGGCACCTCCCTTCCGCGATACCATTCGGCCTCTTCATAACTTGTACTGGGTTGAGAGGAGACCCAGATTTATATACCCCAATCGATGAGGAACTTTGCATCTCCTCGTTCCTAATGTCCTCACCCCATTGTTTGCGAGGGTGTTTGCAGCTAGACGGGGATGGCACAAGGGTTTGTTTGGTAGAAGCACACAATAGCAAAATCGGGGCCAGCAGTTGATGCCCCGCTTGTCCCGGCTCGCACTTATGGCGTATCTCTCCTGCTAGCGATACTTGTTGACTATGGATGATGCCACGCTTGAAGCTTCCGTCTGCTTGTGTTTCTGTAGGAGGGGTTGTGCGGTGAAACGATGGAGGTGTTGATTTCTCTGGCCCTACAACCGCGTTGTTTGACCGCTACATATTAGAGAAGATCCGTTAATGTCTAGCGTGGTTCTCCCTCTTTCATCCGATCTCGATTATAGCGTCGCGCGGGGGCAGCCATTATTGATATCGATCTGCACTGGCGAGCTAACACATGCTTCGGTCTTCCCGGATTGTCTCTATCTTTGGCGGTCTACCTTCAGGAATCAGTACATACTCACACTGATGAACCTCTCAGCGTCTGTGCTTACTGAACAACTGTTGGATATACTAAACGCTTTCTGATGCGAACCTGATAGCTATGCCTAATGCTTGCTTTCCCTTCTATGGGTTTTTGCACTTACAAGCCCTCTGACTGCCTCTTTCAGTGACTGCTTGGCGCTTACTAATCCCTTTCCTTCACGAACCAGACGTCTCGTGAACACTTATTGGAATCCATTGTATAATTTCTATCCTGTAACAACGTATACCTTTCCTGATACATGCTACTTCCGAGTTGGAACCTCCGTCTCATCGCTCTCACCTCGTGCTCCCGTACCTGCATTTCAGCGTATCCCTACATAGATAGGCTCGCAGTGCGCACTTGTGTATTTATGCTGTCCATCTGTTTCAGTTAGTCCGGCTTTCTTGTCACCGGCGTCGTTACAGTATATCTCATGATACATACAGAATAAAAATAATTTGAATTCATCAACTTGAATGCTCGACTAATAAAGGTACCATTTTCGAATGCTGATGTTCCTCATTTGTCCCAACACACATAATTTCGAAGAAGGTGTGGTGCTGAGTAGTTCGCGGAAGGTGGTTGAGTAAGTTCCAGTTTCCAGAGAATAGAGTGGTATATCTGAATTCTATGTTAAGAGCGGCACTTCCTACCCTTCAGCATGGCTCTTCCCAGAGGCCACGGAAATGTGATCCACAATTGATCCACAATGGAAAACCTCCTCCCCGCGGAACTCTTCGGGCATTAGAAGTGAACGGGAAAGAAAACAAAGAAAAGGGTGTTGACTTGAGCCAGCAAGAAAAATAGCCTGAGAATGCTAATCCCAGGTTCATGTTACCAATGAACATGTCAGATCCTCCTGGGCGTCGCTCTGCCGCCCGCATTATACATGTAGAGGCATAGTAACGGTTCAGTTGAAAAGCTGCGTGAAACGTACATTGCGCATGCGAGAATAGTATCGACCGCAGCAGGAATACTAGCGTCAACCTTTCCACATGGCCGCCTCCGAATTTGGTCACATTTCCCCCAGCCTGAGCATCAGGCAACCTTGTTTATTTGGGTCGAGTCCTTGACTCAGTCCGATGTAGTTATAGATGCGCGTTGCTGCCATTCATGGAAACGGTGCCGGTATGTAGGTTAAATGCTGTAGACTGAGTGTTTAGACAACTTTCGTAAATACAAAGTACAAAGAAAGACGCGCACAAACAAAATATTCTTGCGCTATATCACTAGCTCTGACACAAATCATCAAAGGCATTCGTTCCTCCCAACTTGAAGAGCTCGAAGCGTATCTAACAAAAGCGTACAAAATGGCCAATCTCGTGGAAGTCTTTCTAGACGCAGAATCCCGATGTAACAGCGTTGATGATGCTACAACATCGCACGATATTCGCCTCGAACCTAAACAAAGAGGATCTCAGCATCCTTTGCCTCGGGAAACAACACCGCGGACAGCAGATGTAGATATACACTTACTTTCATTGTCATTAATTACTGATAAGGAACAATGTAGCCAAAGCTGCGCCTTGGCGCGAGTCGGGTTTGGGCTGTCCTCATCGGAATCGATGGATATTCGTCCTACCCATTGCGTGGTTGCGTAGCAGATGCCCTAGCAGTAGAACAGTACCTTGCGGAAGACCTCCTCGTGCCTAGGGAGCGCATCCAAAGTCTTCTAGGTCCAGCAAACTGCGTTGGCACACCCACCGATGTTTCATCTGTTATCCCCTCCCGTACAAACATTATATCCATTCTCCTCAGCCTCATCACAAATTCAATCATCGAATACGGTGATCCTATCATCATCTTTTTTGCTGGACACGGCTCCCGCTATTCATTGTCAGACAAAGACGGGGACGACGATCCTGATTCTGACAAGGAGCACGATGATGAACAGACTCGCAAATTCGTTGAGGTGCTTTGTCCCGTGGACCGGAACACCCTCGACGATAGTGGAGCCCTCATTCCTGATATCAGCGACCGAGAGCTCAACACTATTCTCTCCGAAATCTCTCGTACGAAAGGGCATCGTATCACGTTCATTTTGGACTGCTGTCATGCAGGCAGCATCACTCGAACATTGAGTTCAAAGGTGCGGACTGCTCCCCCGTTGGAGCATGCCTCAGTCATCGACATGCTCCTTGCTGGCGAAGAAGACCTCAGAGACCTCTCTGGATATCGGTCCATCTTGGGAGAAGGCTGGCGCCCAGACATGGATTCCCATGTGATTCTAGCGGCGTGCAGGGGAGGCGAGACTGCAAAATCGAAGCTGGTAAGGAAAGAGAAGAAGGGCACGGAGGTGTGGGGCGGTGTGTTCACGAAGTCGCTCATAAAGCTTCTGAAGTCCGATGTATTGGGCGAAGATGCGACGTATCAGAACCTCATCGACAGTCTTCCACCGCTCCGTCATCAGACGCCAATTGTCACAGGAGGGCGGAAGAATACGCACCTTTGGTACCAAGATTGATGCAGGTTTTTTGGAAACTGGCTTCTGGTTCGCTTTGATTGTTACCTATAAAATCGTTCTATCCCTTCAATCGTGTAGCCTTGCATTCGGTGCAAGCTCTTGAGAAGCCTGTGCACAGGAAAAAAAATTTCTATGTCATGCGTCAATAAAATGATCATAACCACCAAAATGACTAGTGGTATATTTACCGTAGTCCAAGACACAACCAGTCTATGGCGGTGAGGAGAGCGTGATGCGCTTCGGGAATGAAGAAGAATGGAACATGGAGAATACCGTGAGGTCAGACTCCATTCACTTCTTTACGGCTAGACTTCAAATATGGAACAGTGCTGAAGACGCCGGGTTATAAATCACATCGTGATGCTGAACTATGGAAAGAGAGTGGGCAATGAAGGTTATATACGAAAGATAGGCATGAACTGATAAGAAAACAGATCGTCGAGACATCCACCGTCGTGATAAGAAAAGGCACGTTTGGGGCCTGGTCACACGATCCTTGTTCCCGGACTGTTGCAGAGTTCAAACAAGTTCAAATCCCGACTGTCAAGTTCCGAGGAAAGGATTTCGTAGCCTGGCCATAGCTGAATATAAGGGAGATCAGATAAAAGAAGTATGGAGGAAAGGAAGAAGAGATGTATCATGAACTTGTTCAGTGGATAAAATCAAGGATTTGTATACTTCAGTCGAGGTTTAGTCTTTCACTGAGTAACGAGCTGGAAGCAGAGATATAGTAGGCACTAGATCGTCCTGAAAGGGTGTTTGCCTCGCCCTTGACTTAATGAATTGGTCAAAACAAGATAAATGAGCATAGCACATGTACAGTCTATTTCCTGCAGCATAGAGTACGTGAAGCGCTCATGATAAGAATCCACAAGACGTGATAGCCACCGTGTGGTCCGACCAATTGAACAAGTTAGGGATAGCTTGTGCCAAGCCCATGTTTTTCCTTCTTCCTTCATCCTGCGGCCTGGACTGGACCTACAGCACTCGACCGGGTGGTGTACGACCCGGTAGCAGGAAACCAGATGCCGACTTGCGTCGAAATCAATGTTGCATTTTCACGTAGATGGTGTCTCGGTGGTCATTTTGATCTGGTACAATCCCTGATTTGCGTCGTATATACCGAAAATCCATTGTAGTGTCGTTTCAAGAGCATCACAGTAGAAGGCATATTGGAGTCTTCAAGCTACGGTGTAGTAGGTAAAGTACTAGTAAGTGCCTGTACTAATAATAGACGTACGGTACCGTACGTTACGTGACCTCGGCAGAGGACGGCACGTACTCACCTCGGCAAGGTTCGGCAACGAGCTCACACCAACGTGAGCGTGACCTCGCCGTGACTGCGTCGGTGATGGCATGCGCGTACCATTTTGGGACGGGAGGGCGTATTCGGGACATGTGTATACTGCCAAGTATGTACGGCATAGCAATCAAAATGTTTTAGATTTTGGCATTTGTCTTTTTAAGATTACACTTTTACAAAATCGGACAGGGAAGTCGCGAATTTCGCCGTCACTGGTTTGTCAGTCCCTCGGTCTCTCTCATTTTGACCACCACCATTGCCATTGCTGTCGCCCCCATCCTCAGTCCCCCATCCCCTATTCCTTCCATCCTTCAGCCCTTCGACACAAGCAACGACCGACAGCGACAATGATGAGACAGTTGTGCCCAAGCATCCTCGTTGGTGTTATGGTGTTACAATGCCACTTTACGGCTACTGCGTTTCAAAATTGCTGTGTCGTTTCTCTTTGTTTATCTTTCCTTCGATCATTTTCCCTCACTCGTGTATTGTTTGTTCGCTGCGACATGTCGCCGTCGAAGTCTGCAATATCAGTTTTTTTCAGTTTTTTTTTGCTCTATGCTTCTCTCTCGAATTGTCGTAATCATATGGGAACATATCAATGCAACCAGAATAGGATAATACAAAGCTTCCATGTTTCAGTCTTTTAGATTCAGGTATCCGAAATTCGGCTAGCAGCAATCTCGCCAAGCGACTTGTTCACCGATGTGAAATAGGTTAATCAGGGTACTTTAATTTGGCTTTCCACGGAGTCAGCCTTGGTTACATGTTCGTGTCACTCCTCAGGGACCTAATAACGCCACCTGGAGTGAAAACTGAAATAAGCTCTTCAGTTTGGCTCACCGACTCGCTATTGGCAAAGGCTGGACATTTCATCGGTACTTTCTCGTGTTGTTACTCCTGGCCTAACTACCAGCACCGACTACAAACTAAATAGGCTCGACGACTTATGGTCGAAGGCTGGAGAATTCTCCTGTACTCTCCCCAAAATGTTTCGCCTTCCACCTCAATCACTCCTTACATACAACCAGAAATACTGCACGAATCTCGAGCTGTTCTCGTCGCTTCAAACTTGACTTTGTACTGTTTTACAGTTTTTTGCCCCAATAATAGTAATCACTCTGTCCTGAGTATCGTGCTGTCTGAGTATCATCTCCACACTCTACCATGCCTGTTCTATCCGTCTCTGAGCTCCTCAATCCGGTTGACACAAAACCGCCAAGCTCAAGTACTGGGTCCCACGCACCCGATTCATTTTCATCTGATGTCACGCCGTTCAAAGTAGAGCACGATATCCGCATAAACCAGAGAACTTTGGTGTCAACCGTGTACCATCACAGGTCTATGGAAGTCATTGAATATCCCACCTTATGCTGTGGGGTTTGGTCTGTCTGGTGGATATTATCCACAGCTCAAAATTGGCATGAATTGCTGCCAAAGGCCCCCAATTCAGGCTGTATTAGATTACATGCTTGGATATTTGCCCTGTCCATCCCAAAATTGTTCAGATTTGTCGGGACTACGAAAAATAAATTACATCATCCTCGAAAAATGGCCGGCTCGCGCTGCAGGCACAGGCTTTTTGTTTTTGTTTTTGTTTTTGAGTTTAAAGGGGTTTATACAAGGTTAATCGTCGAGTGAGTGCCCTGCACTACGGAGATAGATCCCGCAGCTCACGTATCTCCGCCTCACAGGCCGTAAGTGGGATACACTTCTCTCCACCTCACGTCAGCGAGGTCGCAAGCGAGAGAACAATTCTTGTGAGTCTTGCTTTCCGCACCACACGTCATTGCTCCTTACCTTCCACCTGACACAGGTCGCAAGCGAAGCCGTGCTCTCTTCACCTCTAAGGCCTAAGGTCGCAAGAAGATCCTGTATGAGTAAGGTGAGCTTGCGCCAGTCACCGCGGCGACTGCGTACTCACCCGCCTTCACCTCCTAGGTCGTAAGAAGACGGAACGCAACCCGATCCCGTAGATCGGTTGTTACCTGGCGGACTGTGAGCAGAAGAGGGGCCATCCTCTCTCTGCCACGTATCCTCACAGTCTCACCAGGTAAGCCACTCATTATCCTTGTATTGTCTCGTATACTTACAGTTTCATAGACGTAGTTGCTCGCTACCCACCCTTGTATGTTTGTATCTCTTTCTGTTGTATACTTGTGCGGACACATCAGCTAGTATTATGCGTAGCTACTTGGTTTGTAACCCTCCCTAGCGATCATACACGACGCAATCGCATTCGGGCTCCCCAACGCGTGGGGAGCCTAACCTTGGCTAAACTTTGGGTGCCCTCGCACTAAGCTCGAGACGATTGGTTGCTTTTTTGTCTCCAAAAAAATCACAATAAAAGTGGGGAAAAAACACATTGCTCGTTGATTCAGTGCTACAAAATACATGGGAAACTGCAGATACAGAAGATGACCGGCGCTGGAGGCGCAAAAGAAAAATATAATACACAAATAAATGAATATCGATTGCGATGCTCCACTGCACATAGCAGCAGAACGACGGTACGAGAGGGTCGCACAACGCCAGGTAAAAACGAAATATTGGGATTGGGGCGAGGTCACTTTCGGCAGCAGCTAGCATTGTTGGCGACATTAGGCAGGCCCGTAGGGTGTAGCGTTGTGCTGTCCTGTGGCACAGATAGCCCAGGCAACGAGTCGACATGCGCTGGGGACGGGCTGGAGGATAGGCTGGATGGGGTATGCATCGGTGGGGCTGTTACGCACCACTGCGGGATCGTAGGGGGAAACGGAGACCACCATTGGATTCCCCTGTGTCGAAAATGGGGGTAGAGATCCAATAGTGGTCGTACGGTGCATGGGACGGGCAGGATGCAGGATGCGGGGTGGGCGGGCCATGGGGGGCGACGACGTCTTCGTTAGGCAAAATGGATCTGAGGAACGTGTTCCCCCATGTCGAAAATGGGGGATGAATGAAGGTGGGGGTTATTGGAGGACTGGAGCGGATGGTAGGAGCCCATGTTGGTTTTGGGCTGGGGTGGCAGCGGCGGGTCCGTCGGGGCTTGCATCATCGTCGTTTTGGCGTCGTCCGTCGTGCATATGGGAGTAGTGTTGACTCCCGAAGAGGCGTTGCCATCGCTTCTGTCGTTGGACGTCGGTACCACGATCATTATCCCGCCCCTCCTGCTCATACCCTTCTTACCCACTGTGTGTCCCAACCTCCTCCCCTCTATCTCACAACCCTTCCTTACCATATGACATGCCCCTCCTTCATTATCTGACCTCCCCTGACACCCCCGTCGTCATCGTCGTCGTCATCCTGTGGGTCGTCATCATCGTCGTCGTTCTCTCCTATGCCTTCCCAGCATCCCTGTCGCCTCCTGTGTCCCACAGCCATGCCATGCCCTCTACCGAAGTCTTGCGTCACGTTCGCACTGCCCATGCCTCTGGTGTCATCGTCGCCGTTGTCCTGCTCGACGACGTCCTCCTCAGGCATTTCAGGGCATCTCCCGCCCCAAGATGGCAGCCGATGTTAAATCCCCCGACGTTATCCACACCATCGTGGTGTACAGAAGTGATGCACGGCAGCGATTAGCGTCGATGTCGATGTGGGGGTACTGGATGGGGGTGGGGATGACAAAGGCGTGAGGATGCCAGGGATCTCGATCAGGGATTATGGTCGTCATCAATGGCGGCGGCGGCATCGTGGGAGGGAAATGGAAAGTAAAACCGTAACGTTGGGAGCACGGATGAGGTGGTCATTGCGTGGAGTGTGGATTGCAGCGGTGGGGGCATCTGAGGTGAGATCGCCATCGTCCTGGTTGCATCTGCTATTGAATATTCAATAAGATTACATGTAAGGATAGAAAATAAAGAAACTCACGATTTTGGCAGGGCTCGAGGGCACCCAGGTGGTGGTTGAAGACGACGCAAACAGTGACGAACCGTTTGATCGTTGTTCGGCATGCACCGAATGCGACCGAGCACAATTTCTTCTGCTGATATTATTTAACTCTCTGTCATAGGTTTGAGGGCACGAACGTTGTTTCAAATAATTCTATTTGCTTGTAAATATCGTTCGAATTCAATTGTCACCGTTTTATGCACACCCCGAATACCATACCTATGGGAAGAACATCGAACGGATTTAGGGGCGGGATAAAGGGTATTTAGCGGCGTCATGGCACTTTATGGATGCTACAAAACTGAAGGAATAAACGATAAAGAAAGTAAAATTTACACTTGTGCGATGGCAGCGGGCGATGTAACAAAAAAAAAACCTAGCGACGGGCAAAGAAATTCCAGGAAGCGGTATTCGGACTTTTCGGGTGGAAGGCTTCTTAAGCGGGATCGATCGCGTTCTTGCAAAGTTTATTGGTCAGATAGCAACACGCCAAGCGGGCTCAGGCGGGATGGGCGCAAAATCGTGACAGTTAATATTTACCAGTATTTACTTACGACGCCAAGGATGCCGACACGGCATCTCGGGCCTTGCTTCGGTACCGTACAGTGATGTCACAGTACCCACACGTCTTCGTTACGTAACAGGTACTCACTAGTAATGTACTGTGTACCGCAAGCTACGTGCAGCAGGACACGAAAAGAAGAAGACAAAACAACCATGGGCCGGACTTTGCCGTTCCAGGACCGAAAGCTGCCACATGGCGGCACAACTGCTTGTTCGGAAAATCTTGCGTTTCAGCGACACAGAACCCCGGCGTTCCTTATCGGGACCTTATACCTGTATTTTTCTAAACTCTAATTTTCTACGCCTATATTTTCAGTCGTTCTCTAGGACGTGAACCAAGTTTCAACACTACGACCTGTTCAACTGAAGGACCTCGCTAATTCTAACAATTCGGATGTCTGCACCAGCTGCTGCGACACGCGCCTGTTTACCAGGTTAACTTTGTCTACTCTCCCAACCGTACGAGATGAGAGAGCACCGAACATACTACTTTATCCATGCACGAATACTGAGAAGCGAAGAATCGACTATTGGTGGAGAAGGGACAAGATCCAATTATACAGTGTGGCGCCGGGCAGGTTCTGATTCTTGGTGCGTTCACACTTTGATTTAGAGATACACCTGGGCTAATGTGAACGGATTAGTCTACAACAACTTACTCCTTAGCTTTGGATCTGGCCCTTGCATGCGATGAGGGAGCGCAAGATGTATCACTTCATCCAAGATAGAGGCACGGAGACTGGGAGCCGAAGAATAGACTATCGACGGGGGAGAAGGGATGACGTCCAACTGGACGATGTGGCGTCTGGCAGGTTTGGACTCTTGGTGCGTTCACTCTTTGGTTTAGAAACAAGCCTGGACTGACGTGAACGGGTTAGCCTATACCAACCTGTTTCTCAGGTTTGGGTCCGGCTTTTTGTTACCTTACCTGGAGGAATGCTTACTCCACAATGCGGCCATCTCTCCACGACAAGCCCAATTTCTTTGCTCCTCGGAGTCGGAACTGCGTGTGACCTGGTGGATAGTATGCGCTCGCCAGCGACATTCGCAGTAGTCATTGCATACTCTGCCGGTTCCTTTGCTCACGACGTCAATTTGGAGGATGTCTCGCTATTTCTCTCCGCTCTCAATTCCCGCCTTGCGTCGCTATATGTCGGAAGGCTTGCAGCCAGGTGGAGGTGTGACAGTTTTTTTTCAGCGGGGGGTTTGTACCTTGCACCTCGGTGGAAGGAGAGGACAACGAATCTGCGTTTTTCGACTCAACTCATATTTGCTGTCATTATGCACGCACTTGATCGCTTGTGATTCCTTATTCATCGGAAGTAACCTCGCGCTGAAGGGACATGGTTTCCACCATCCTTATTCTGTTCTTCACCCTTGCTTACATGGTCATTACGCTTGACATATCAGGACTCCTTCAAGCAGCTGCCTTTTGGGTCAGTAACCAAGGAGGGTCCAGCGGCTGGAAACTCTTTTTTTACTTCTACGTAATGTTCATCTACGTCATCACCCAACATTGCTAGTCAGCCAATTGCAGTTCTCAACCACCCTCGACGCCCTCTAATTGAAGATCTCTTTTCATGTCCTCTCCCTTCAACTTAACGCGCCCTTTACACACGGCGACCCTTCGCTCGAATCCGCCTCTAGTGTCTCGTATACGGTATTCGAACACGCGAACAGAAGGCACCTGAAAGACTAGGATTAATCAATCTATGCAGGACGATCAGGACGTTGCTGCACCTTTAGATCAATTCCTCGTATTGTTACCGCCCGTCAAACCCATGTCTATGATTCCGCACGAATTTTCGAACAAAGATGAAATAGGACTACGGCTGGTGAGTCTATCGGACTGCTTGCTTAATATGTGAGAGCTGACGCGCTGATTAGCCTGAGAAAGTAACGGTGTACATTGCAGCGACTACAAGCAATCCTAGTTGAATCACCCGCCGCTACCATCTGCCTGCTATTTCGTTTTCTGCACAACCAATGAGTCGGCACTTCCTCGATTGACTCTTTGTCGATGAAGATACATTCAAAGACCCTTCCCTCGGGAACTCGAGGTCCTACGCTGACAACCAAATGGCGTCGTGGTTTCTTATGTCAAACGACGATATTTCTTTTCGAGGCCATATCATCACACGTGCAACCAATATCTGCGCACTCCAATCTCTTTTCCATGAGCACAACCACCGCACATTTTTTTTCCATTAGGATCGCGGTTCCGCCTTGGCTCCTCTCCCCACCATCCTGAACCTCACCCGCCCGAACCCCTATCGCGATTTGTCGAGTCGACGCTGGTAGCCTCATGTATCATACCTCCGAGTCCAGCACTTTACACTGCACCATCGCCTGAAGTACCAACCAAATTACTAAACGCTCACCTGAAGACTCAACTCGAGACGGATTTGTCTGCCATTGAGTAGAACGCAGCGTCACCAAAACCTTTTCGTGGATTCCAGAGATGCTCGTGGAGGAGACAGGTATTAGGTGCGTACACCTCTATCTCTGTCCTCCCTTGTCTCCGCGGAATCTTTCTCACATCATCGACTGCTTAACTCTCCCATGCTCAGTTCACGCAAGCTCCCAATACTCTTAAACCTTCCTCTTTTCGGGCTTCCCTCCCTGATTCTGCGGAACTCTTCCCACCGACGCAAGCTCCCGATAAGCAAACGTTCCCAAATCTATGGCCGGGGATAATATCAAGAATGATGTGACACTCGCGCTCTTATCTACGCGTAGAGGGACAGCGACGCGGCATCCACCTTACTTGCTGGCGTAGGAACGCTAGCCTCTCAAGAATGTCCTCCAAGTTCAGCCGCGTACTCCGCTGTAGAATGAGGTGCGTACGTCCTCTACTGTACCCTCCTTTCCACTTTCTAACCTCTAGCTCCATTTTCAAGTGGACTCTTTACTTCCGCGGAATCAATCTCATCCATCCGATCTGTCACGGCGCACTCGATCCCGTTACATCTGAATCTGCATTCACATCTGACGCAAGCAAGCAAATGCTCCTGGACGTTCTACTCAGGGAATCATCTCGGTCACAGTGCAGTCTGATCAAGAACCAGTAGAAGACGTTCACATCAAACCTCGTACACAATCGGCGACTCCGACCCAAGCTTCTGTCGAACAAGCAGAATTTACCATCCAATCTCACCAACGCACTCGTCGATCTTAGAGCTCGCTTCTGTTTAGTGATCCGTGGTCTGCGCCAGGGAAAGTCTTGTTTTGTTTCCACTCCTCTCGGCGCCAGATGCAGGGTGCTCGTGTCACGCTCCTCTCTTGTTGATTGGAACCCAAGAGATGGCCAGCATACTAGTACGTGAGTATTTAAGCGCGCACTTACGACGTTATATTCATGGCTTAACATAGATCTTATTTGGCGACCACTTCTTCGTATCCTGGTAATGCATTTTTTCCCTCTTACGCTACCCTCAGAGTCTCACTGCCTTCTACGCTCAACACTCGCTTTCTCATCGTCACAAGCAGGCGCGCAAGAACGAGAACGTTATTCTGGTGCAACGCAGCACTCCTTCCGAGTCTTATGACCCCACTAACCCCACTAAAGCTCCTCAGTCCCAACAATCAAGTGTCCCTGTGATCAAATCGTATTTTGCGGATTCAAGGTGAGGTTTTTAATCATTGTATGCGCACTTGGAAGAGTATGGACTGAAGATGGAGTTGTAGAATTGCCATGCCGTTAAGTTCTACCACCGCCCCATTGATACGCCTTTCCGCCTGGCTGGATCATGATGTTTCCATTTTACAGCACCACTACCCAGCAAGCGCCCACGTCCGACTGGATCTCGAACACCATGCTTCAGCTTCTTCCTTGAAGCCACGTTCCCCGCTTTGCGAGCCTTGATGTGGGACCTATCGGCGGTGCACACTGCATATGTATCCAACCAGTGTTGATGAAGACGGTGCGAGACGATGCTATCCTTTCTACTGACGTTGTCCGTCACTAATATTAGAGATGGAAGAATAAATAATACGATGCTTTATATTGCAATCCTCTCGTGTGAATGCTCTGGAGCCCTGAAGCACTTAAAAGCCCCTAATCTAACAAGTTAGAAAATTGGTTATCGTCCGATGAAAAATGCTCGATCCACGCGATGTATATATAGCTGCATCAGCGGGGAATCGAACCCCCGGCAGATCAACAAACCTAACTCGTATCAAATGGCAACGACCCAGGTTACCAAACAGACTCGTATGAAACACTTGAATCTAGCCCGATAACGAACCAAGAAAACAAGACGCCGACTGATGTTATGACGAACAGCAAAGACGCGCCCGTTAACTCCTGACCCTGGCAGTTCGTGCCTGGGAATTTAGCCTGGTAAACCGGCTTTATGAGAAACTCGCGGAACTCGTTACTGTATATAAAACGCAGTCAGTAAATCACCCTTTTCCTGATCCGCGAAACGTCCCCCCGGACCGCATTGACTTGCTCTTCTTACACTTCTTCGGGGATATGTGCCACTTCTCCAACGGAAGATATTCATGCAGGAACCAAATCGGAACTTCTGCCTCATGGATGACTGCCGCATGTAAGTAGGACGGTGCTTACCGCTTATGCATCTGTGCCAATCTATTCTTATTAGTTCCGCTTTTTGTCGTCGACATTACAGATTATTAATAAATGGCTGGTATACTTGGGTAAGAAGATAGTCATTTTGTGTTGTTGAGCCGCCCATACAAGGATCCATACTCGAGCAGCAGAGTTGTGATTGTAGAGATGATGGCAATCTCCTTTTGCTGCTGTCGCACTCACCGGCGCAACTCAAGGGGGGAGATGGATGCACACCAGGTTTCCGAATTAGGAGGAGCCGAGCCTTAGAGCTTGTATGGCCGCTCCTGTCAGTTCTTTCACCAAAGGTGGGTGTATCCTCTTAGGATGGTTGGTGTGCTAGAATAGAGTCAGGACCGAAGATGTCAACGAGGTCCACATTATGCCGCTCCGTTTCTCCATGTAGCAGGCTTCAGAGTGTCAATGAGCAAACTCGTGAAGCCACCACCTCGCCGTGCTCCATCCTTAGACGACATTGCCAGGACCGGGGAGGACCCCCACAGCACTGTATGTATGTCAAGACCGATCGGTAACTCGGGAGTTCTAGGCCATGGTTTCGAAGATGTCTTTGATCGCACTCCTACCAGACTACTGTCGATCTCTTCAATACGAGGGAATTTTTTCTGTGCATGCTTGTTCCCATAGTAGACCATTCTACGCCGCCGCCATCACATAATAAACTGATTACTTTGTCAGGATATCATTGTTTGGGTTATCGTACGTGAAAGTATCTGAATTTCCCTCTCGGCAACTAAGCGCACCCTGAGATGGTAGTACAAGGCACGTCTGGGTGGTGACCCACTACACCGGACTTCTGCTATGAGCGCCAGCCAGGCCCAGCCCTGAGTGAATCGGTCGGGGAGAAACGGAAGGGGTGATCGCGACTCGGTAAGCATCAGGAAAAGGGCAACTTCGTCTTTGGCAGCTTTGACTTTTTCTAGACCGCTTTCGGGAGCTTTATCTTTGATGTGGCATCTTGATCTTGGGCAACCGGGATCTTTCACGCCTTCATGATCTTGCTCTCATCATCAACTCTTTCGTTGTTCCCTTACCTGAATTTCTCCTAACGATGCTCTGAATGCTTGATTAAGGTGCTGCACTAACTATTTACTGATATACCGACCGGGAATTCTGTCTTCTGCTGGGCGATAATATTATGGGCCATCGGCATGCAAGTGCAAAAATTGCGAAGTCATTTTTGAAGTCCGCCGGGAGATAAGCTCCGGGGTCTCTGCGTAGAAGATCATGCTGGTTCACGTGATGTTCAACTTCACGTCGTGGGTTCTTCCTTTCTTCCTTCTCCTGCTTACCACCATGGTCCCTATTAAATCACTTCGCTCCTTACCATCTCCCCTCTGTCATTAAACTTTTCTCTGGCTCGTAAGCATGGAGCTGTCTCTTCACCATCCAACTCAATGGTGATGGGAATGGTAAGTGGATCTGTTTGTACTGTCAGTAACGTGGTTGCTGATGCTGTTCGGTCCACAGGGATGCCTGACGACAAATGCGCTGCACACCAAGTTTTGTAAGGTGTAGTGCTTTTCCCTCCCTTCCCTTCATATCCTTTGCTTAACACCTCAATGAGTCAGATGTTCCACCCGATGGTATAGATGTTAAGAGTGGGCTCTCCTAGGTGATGGTACGTTCAATCTCCCAGTGGTCATTTGCATTGAATGACTTTTCTTTCAGGTGTTGTATGTTCACTCGGGTATTGGATCGGGATGGACAGGATGAGGAACAAGACTCGGGCAATGGTGTCAAGGGTTGGCGGCGCTAATTATTTTTTCTATACTTACCGTATGCACGTTGTATACATGTACTATGTTTATCCCAATGACCAATATACTGCTGTTTTGCTATTCCAAATTTCCAACTTGAATGCCATAAGCAATCTAAGATACATGAAAGATGTCGCACCTTATAAGACATTAGTCTCTTTCAAAGAGTCGGTCTGCTTGACAAGACAAGGTACGTGTCTTGTGAAATACATTTTCTCCTTCCGGAAAGATGTTGTATTTTGTATCTTTCAAACCTTTTTGAACTTGAGCAAGTACTGAAAGACCTCAAAGAAGAAGGGGCTGTTTTGCTGATGAGCGCTCAGAAAGACCCTTTTCCGCGACTCGGAATGTCACTGAATCAATAGAATCTCGATGCTCAGGCACTGCATGGTAAATTATTGTCGCCTTCGTCCGCAGCCTACATTGCAGGCGGCGATATAGTAACAACTGTTGTTGAAAAAAGGCTGTTCTGAAGGACTATTTCCAACAGCGTCAACCTTGCTCAGAATTGGGTCTTCCCTGGCTCAGTCCAATGGGAGGAGGCACATGTAGAATTTTCAGGTTTCAGAGTTTAGCAAACCAGTGTGAGAAATATGAGGTACAAAAAAACTTGGACAGCTCTTGTGTATGCTGTAGCCTCTTATTTTTACTTTCGGATGATGGAAAACCAATTGATGATACCACTGATAACCTTTTCAAAAGACAAATGTTGGAATTATTGCAGTGGGAGGCTTGCAGTAGGAATAATACCTAATTGTTAGCTACTAGAGCTCCTAATGAGCTCCTTATATACTACGAAAAGTATCTAGAATATTCTACCAAAAGTACTAAATATATCTAAGTATCATGACAAATGAATAAGCCGAAGCTTTGGGAATCTTCTAGCATGAGCTTGAAGTTGCAAATCCCAACAACAAAGTTCTTGGAGCTTTGGGGCCTGTGAAAGTCTGGAAATCTCAGAGTAAAAGGATATGAGATCAGTCACCCATTCCTCAGATGAAGTAATATTAATAAACAACTTAAATGAGCAGATCAGGTGAAATGTAATTCAAGGGCGACCAGCTGATTGAAGGTACATATCCTTTTATGACCTTACAAATTTTTATGTCTTAAAATGACTGGTACTCCGAAAGGATACACCAGTACGCGGGTCTACATCCGTTGAACGACTTATCTTCATACAGATAGTTGAGTGCGGCTTATGAGACTAGTACGCAAGTTGTTTTTCTCTTTCGGAGCTTGAAGTTTAGTGATTTGAAAGGCCTGGCTCGGCTCGGCTTTCGCAGCTTGGGCTCGGCTTTGGAGGGCTCAGGCTCTTCAAATCGCAAGCCCGAGCCTTGAGCCCAAGCCCGTTGAGGCTCAGGCTCAGCTTGGGCTCAGGCCCGGGCTCGCATACAACAAAGTGTTTCCACTTTGAACCAGCCATAGGAAGGGGAGAACTAGTGTTGCCGTGACTCGGCTCAAAGTGACTTAGCCAATAAGCCGAGTCCATTTAAGCTGAGTTTGAGCCCACCTTAATGGAGTCGGCTCAAGTCGGCTTAGCCTGAGTGTTTCCAAATATGGGCATGCATCCTCGTGCACTTCGCTACTGTCCTTTCTCTCACTGCATTTTCTACAACCTGTTTGAGCCCCTGACATGCACCTAACATGTCAGGTATTAGGTATTTTGTTACACGCTGCCTGTACCTCCTCATGCAACCTCAAATAGGTGATGTATCGGAATGTATCTTGTACAATGACACATAACCTGTCAGGCCCATAGATTTGGCACCCTCTCATCGATTGGAGGCCTGACATCCGATGTGTTTCTCTCAGAATATATCATTTCAAACCGGATAAAATACAGGGAATACATGACAGATCTGCACATGAACAGGTGTCTCATGTAGTCTGCACTGCCACCTCGCACCTCGTCCTTCGGACCTTCCCCCATCCTCACATACATTGTACGGATAAGCTTGCAATGATGAGATGTAGGTTCCGGTAGATCCAGTTGCAGCAACTGATGTAAGATGCTACCATTATAGCCAAGCAACCACAGCTACACACAGACTATACTGAAACATTAATATAACAACCAAATAAAATCTGGATCTTGGAAAACTCGCCTCTAATATTCCCTGGCATTTTGGTTACATTGAGGAATGCCAATATTACGGTTGAACGATGCCTAAATGTTCAGGACAATTAATGTTAGCACCTGGAAGTTTAAAATGGAGCATACGCTCACCACAAGAAATCCTCCAACCGTTGACTCAGATTCTCGGAACGACTGCAACCACAGTGACATTATCCCATGGAGTCTAGCAATGCAGGCTTTCCAGATGTCAGCAGGTCCTCAGCTGACCAGTCATCTCCAAACGCACTGACTGAAAACGTGTCCTTGATGCAGGAGTTACTGGGTAGCATTGGCTCACCTGCAGCAGGGATCGGCGACAGTATCCAAGGCTTTCCAGTCAACACAAATGGCAATGGTAATGCTGCAGCTTTTCAGGTTACATCATGTCTCATCAGATCAATGGTGAAATTCACTGACGCTCTCATGGTAATTCCAGCCATTCATGTCCAGTCTCAATCACAGCAATCCGACTGCCCAGATGCCATTTTCGCCTAGCACCTACTATTCTATGTATGGCATGGGGAACAGTATGCCTGGCCTCATGTTGCCTCATGTGTCACCTAATACCATGGGAATTCCAATGGTCAGTCAGTCAGATTTGGCAGATAATTATGGCGAACCACATACTGAACATGTAATAGCTGCCACCCAACACACCGACATTGATCAAGCTGACAAACCCAGCTACGCCTGCAGTTGAATCCTGGGACTGGGCATCTATCTTCAAGGATCCGGCTGTATCTTCTTTGCTTTGGGAAATGATCAGAGAAGGCATCCAGGATGAGCTAGCAAAGATCAAACCCAGTGGAGGAACAGGAATTTCCACACAGAAACAGCGAGACGGGGATATGGAGGTACATCTCATAACATAATCTGCAAGGAATGCTGAGCCCTTATACACACACCATAGGAGGAGGTACAAACCATGATGCTTGGTCTTCTGGGAATTACAAAAAATGGTTGGCAGGCTTTTACACTCCCAGATCCTCTTGCTGTGGATGCACCACAACGAGTTGACAAGCATGGAAAGGTATTACACAATCCCGATTGGACTGCCAAGGTCCAGGCACCCATCAACATTGAGTTTCAGGCCATCGCAACTGAACTGATCATGCAAAACAAGAAAGTAAGTCATAATTTATTACACCGGTGTAAGACGATTGCTAAGTGCCTTACCAGTTACCTGAGGATGCCAAGCCAGATATTGAAAACCGTGTGCAAGGCTATTTTGAACGTCTGAAAGAGGTTTATGCTGTCAGTACCTTTCCAGTTATACTAAAGCCAGAAGTACTCGCACTGACATTGATCTGATGTATAATAGCAACAAACCAATGATGACGCATGCAGTAAGGGCAGCAATAGAACAACCAACACTAGGCACTGCAAGCATAAGAAAGGAGTGAGTTTAAATCTCGTGCTGATACTGTAAATGAAGACTGACAACGATTATTCATTGTTTAGAAGGCAACCACACTGCGAGAGGCAATACCAAAGCTGAAGGAGAAGTATGGTTCAGCAGTGGATGGCATTGAGCATGCTGTTCTCACAGATTACTTGTCTGATGAACTGACTGACATGGAAAGTCATCAGTCTGGACGATCCCAGCATAAGCACTTAAAAGTGAGAAGACTGGCTTGGTGTAATAAGCATGTGAGTACCAGGCTAAAAGTGCATGAAAACGAACGTACTAATCAATCACATAGCTCAAACGTCTCTACTCAGCATTATGAAGGCTCTCCGCTGAGGACGGCGGGGCACATGTGCATACTCACATTTTCAATGCTCAGGATGAGGACATTGATATACAGCCCCCAAACTTCACATATAAAGTGTGGGTCAGTAAGTCATGATTTCAACATGATACATGGGAGATTATTCTGAAGGACAACACTGATAATATGCCAATCTTGTCCTTCTGTGTTCCTGATGATGATCTAGATGGAGAGGACATTGAGCGCTTCGCAGACAATGAAGCCGATGATTTAGATTAGATAGATCAGGGAAAAACTGAATTGATAGACCACAAAGTAAAAGGAGATTGACATACAATTCATGCACGTCTCTGGAACATCATGAGTAATGGAGGTAGCACATCAAACAGACACGTACCAAAGTTCCTGATGTCGCAATGGTTACCCAATACCTCTGCTCATGGATCATCACTGAGGAATGTACCACATGACATAAGATATCTGCCAGACATACATACTCCCCTGGATGTTCATCCTCCTCCCCAAGATAAATGTCTTCTTCCCAGAACTGCAGTCCCAGAGACTCACTGGACAAAGACGTTAGCTGAATATTGGAACTCAGTAATCATGTAAATGATAGCAGTACCTTGTCAACCAGAATGTATGATCAAGGCGAGTGTTGGCAGGCTTGAGCCACCGAAGATGGCCCAATGACAGAACTCTCAGTGCTGTCTGTTGCAGTGCAATGATGTCGAGAAGTTCCCCAACACTGATGTCATTGGGCCAGGATCCAGTGCAAACAGCTACCAGGGAATTAGCATTTCTATGAGCATGCGAAAGACTCCAGTAGCACCGCTGTGCTACAATAACATAGTCAAAAATGATAGCGTGAGGATCCAGAGCTAAGGAAGTGGCATCTCCAAGAGAAAAGTATGATCGCAAATGCAAAGCAGGGAAGCATGCTTGAAGGTGACACAGTAGACTGTCATAGACATCCATTGGAAGCTTGATTGATCTTGAATGAGGGCTCATCTGCAGGGCGATGCCACCTGTCTTGACTGTAAATGCAAACAGCAGGGACCACATAAATTGAGAAACTGACCATCTTCATGAGCCTGGTCTGACTCCTGTGCCAAGGCTTGTACAGTTCCATGGTTGTCTGCAGTCGCTTTATACATTGCTGCGATGCTCTCATGAATTGGTGTCTTTACTCCAGCATTGTAACTGTCTTGCATCATCTACAGAACATCAGATCAACTAAACACACTAAGAACTCACTGACTTACTATGCATGATTGCTGAACTGTCCGATGAAACTCCCGGAAAAATGATACCTCCAGTTCACCGCCAGAATGATTCCCAGAATTATATGATTTCAGGACTTTGTTGATCCGCTCGAAGAGAAATGTCCAGAAACAGTGCAGTGGTCCAAAATCACGCATGCATGAGGCGGTATGAGTGGCATAGTGATGGTTAGGCTTGATCACACTTGGACCGTACAGCTGTTAAAGTAAATTAGCGGTTAGGATCTACCATGAACATAGCAGCACCATGAACCTCCATCAGCTCTAAACCATAGTCCCATAGAAGTCTGTCTGCTTCCACAATGTCTCCATCTCATGTCTTCTGGGCTAGAATGAGTCGTAAAGCACTAGAAAGCTTGAAGAAATTAGCTGGATCTCGAGGGTGGATATTCGGTAAAATGGGATCAGAGTGTTAGCCACTAACTTTAATCGACTTAGATCATACTAGGATCCCTACTTGCACTTCGGTAGGAGATACTCTAGCAAGTCAAAGGCGACGAAAGCCGATGGGACAGATAGTCACGAAGGACGGAGCTCGATGTTAGGTAGATTAAACCTTAGCCGAAGCTGGGGTTTAGACCAGCTGAGGCTCTACTTAAATACAAGTGGCTACGCTAATAATAGTACTGTGAGAATTGATCTGTAGGGATCGCATATGTGTAATCAGGCTGAGTAAAACGAAGAAAAATGAATAAACCGTAACATTACCCCCTCCCTAAGACTCGTTCATCCCGAATGAGTCATCAGACTCCCCCGTGTCATTGTCCGAAGAGGAGCGCCTAGATTCTGAATAAAATGATGAAATATCGGCGTCATCATCGTTGTCATCATCTTCATCCTTATCCCAATCTTCGGTGACTTGTTGTAGATAGTCAACATCTGAGTCATTTGTAAGGGGTTCGCTTGTCAATTGGTCATCCAAAGAGGACGTATCGTCGATGGCATTGAGTTCCTCGGAATGTGCGGGTGCTGTGCATTGTGAGGAGGGGACGGTGATTATGTCGGTTATGCATGGGGTATCTGGCTCGTGGTATTCAATCGGGAGGTTCAGAGGTATCTTGTCGTCTCTGCCAACCGCCTTCCCTCGGTCGTTAACCGTCCACGATATCTTCTGTATACGAGCCTCGTACTCGTTTACGAGTTCCTCGGCATTGGCCATGTCTGAACGTTTCACCCACGAGTTTTCTTCGATTGGGTATCCTCTCCACTTCACCAAATATTCGGTGATCATTCGGCGGGTTCGGCCACAGCCAATGACTCTGTCCCTCTCATCCACAATTTCTTCAATCTCGTATTCCTCTTCATCTTCAACTAGGTCCGGAGGTGGTCTTTCAGGATATGGCTGATTCGGGAATTCGGGGGCGTGATATGGAGTCAGAAGGGACTCATTGAATCGGTTGTGAATTTTCCAGCCAGTCAGTAGTTTGAGTTCATAGGCAGAGGCTCCTTTTCTTGCAAGGATAGCAAAGGGTCCTACGCGTCGATCGCCAAGTTTCTTCGTAGGACGAGGAAGGTTTAGGTTGGTGGTGTCCAACCACACCTTGTCACCAATTTTGTATTTCACCGCTCTACCTTTGTGTTTATCGTATGCCTTCTTCATCGACTCCGCCACACATTCCAAGGAGTCCTTTGCCTTTTCTTGAACCTCTTTAATCCCCGTTACCAACTTGGACGCAGCTGGAACGGCGTCTGGTCGTTGGGAGGTCTTGATTACCTGCCCATCCCTTCCGAAGACCACCTTATAGGGAGAATATCCTGTGGCTGAATGTTTTCGGTTATTGTGGGTGAAGGCGGCGAGCGGCAGCCAGTCGCTCCAATCGTCTTGTCGGTGGTTAACGAACATCTTGAGGTATTTCTCTATCTCCTGATTGACCCTCTCCATCTGTCCGTCCGTCTGCGGATGATAAGCCGTCGACGGGTTACCTTCTATTTGTACAAGCTGGTAAAACTCCTTCACGAACTTTGAGACAAAGATAGCGCCTCGATCTGAAATGACTTTCTCTGGTAGCACTCCATAGGGCACGTAGACGTGATCCCTGAGGATTTTGGCAAATCCCAAGGAAGTGAGTTCTTCGGTGCATGCAATAGGTATGATTGTCTTGGAGAACCGGTTGACAATCACGAGTATGGAGTCAAACCCCTTCGAATTTGGGAGTTTGGTGATCATATCGACCGATATATGAGTCCAAGGTCGGTCTGGTACTTTGTTAGGATGGAGGGGTGCCTTTTTGGGGCGACGATCCGCCTTAGTTCGTTGACAGACCTCACATCCCTTTACGTAGGCCTCTACATCCTGACGCATTCGGGGCCACCAGTAATCTCGTAGGACGAGTTCCTTCGTCTTTTCTATCCCCGGGTGTCCTGCCGTTACATGGTCATGTCTTAGGGCCAAAATCTCCCCTCGTAGATGTCGGTCGGCGGGGACGTAGATGTGTCCATCATACCACAGCAAGTCTTGGCCTCGTGAGATCCCCTTCTCATGGTTGAGGGAGTCAGAGATACCCCTGTCCCACTTGCGTATGTCGTGAGTGGCCAATTTAATCTTCTCGTGCAGTCCTTCTTCGGTGGGCATGACGAGGGCCCGAAAATGTTCGGGTTTCAGGACCATGACGTTCTTGTTGTCGTCCTTCCCTTGATTGTGGTCCGCCCGCCTCGACAATAAATCCGCTTTGTGGTTCTGGGCCCCAGGTTTATGATGCAGGGTAAAGTGATACTCTGCTAGTTCAGTCACCCATCGAGCTTGGCGCCGATTGAGCTTTTGGGGCTTTCAGAAGTATTGGAGGTTAGAGTGGTCCATCCAGATCTTGAAATTCTCTCGTGCGCCCATGAGGTATTGGCGCCATTCTTCCAGCGCGATCATAATCGCCAGAAGTTCTTTGTCATAAATTTCATAATTCCGTTCAGTTACCGATAGGGATTTGGATAAAAAGGCCACCGGTCGCCATTTCTCCTCTTGCCATTGGGACAGTACCGCTCCTATCGCCCCCTCACTAGAGTCCGCCTCCACCCGGAACTTTCCTTCATCGAGCGGAATGGTGAGAACCACGTCTCCGTGGAACAGCTCTTTTAGCTTCTCGAACGCTTCCTGTTGAGCTTTCCCCCACCGCCATTCTACTTTCCCCGTAAGAGCAGTGAGAGGTTTCACGTGCTTGCTATAGTCCCGAATGAATCGTCGATAGAAATTACAGAACCCCAGGAATGATTGCAACTCCTGTTTCTTGGATGGAATCGGCCAGTCTAATAGGCCGGCAATCTTTACTGGGTCCATGCGGATTTTCCTTTCGCTAACAAGGATGCCTAGGTACTTGGTCTCTTCGACTTCGAACTCGCACTTCTCTGCTTTTAGGAAGAGCTTATGGTCCCGAAGAATTTGAAGTACCTTATGCACGATGCATTTATGGTCCTCCTTGTTCTTGGACGCGATGAGAATATCGTCCAGATAAACCGATACTTCCCCAGCCGTTATCAGATCTTTGAAAATATCGTTCATCATCCACTGGAATGTGGCAGGAGAGTTAGTGAGTCCGAAGAACATGACAAGGGGTTCGTAGAGGCCGCGATTGGTTCGAAAGGTGGCCTTCCACTCATCCCCTTGCTTGATCCTAACATTGTTGTACCCCCACCATACGTCCAGCTTGGTGAAATACTTGGCTTTCTTCAGCCGATCCATCAGCTCCCCAATGAGCGGCAGTGGGTACCGGTTCTTAACGGTCATCTCGTTGAGCTTGCGGTAGTCTTGAACTGGGCGGAGCTTCCCATCTTTCTTTTTAACGAAGAAGAACGGCGACGCCATGGGAGATTTAGATGCCTGAATATGCCCGGTGGACAAGTTTTCATCCAAAAACTTGTCCAGTTCCTCCTGTTCTGCAGGGTTAAGCGGATAAACCTTGCAGTCGAGGTTGGCGTTGGCGTTGGGGATCAGTTCTATGGCATGGTCCCATGGTTTTCGAGGGGGTAGTTCATCGAAGTTTTCCTTAGCAAAGACGTCCTCGAAGTCTCTATACTCCTTAGGTACTATTTCTTCGAAGGTTTTTGTGGTTTTACGAGCGTGGGCCTGGGCAGCTAACTCGTTGGCCTTAGTACCCATCGCTCGGACGTGGAAAGCCTCCTCAAAGTCTATGACTAGGATAGTGTCCCCTTCTTCGTACTCCTCCCACTTGGACAAGGGGTCCGTGTCTGGCAGGGAGAAGGGGATTTTACGACAAGTGCAATGGGCCAAGGTAACAGCCTCGGTGTCCCAGTCAATTAAAGGGTTGTGTCTCTGCAACCAATCGTGTCCTAGGAAAAGCGGGGTGGTACCTAGGTCGACCACAGCTAGTTCGATTCTTTCCACGTGATCCCCAATTCATAATCGTACCTCGGCATACTCGGTGATGTCACCCCCTTTGTTTCGGGTGCCATCAGCGTTATAAACCGGGATGGGTCGGGCCGCCTTTTTAAGATTGAGGGCGTGACTCTGAGCCCAGGCCCGGTCTATCGAACTGCCGGTGGCTCCGCTGTCTACGAGTGCCTTCAGGGAGTGCATTTCACGAGTATCTAGCGTTTCCAACTGTACTTGGATTGATACGTTACGCCCTTTTCTTCCTCTTATGTACATGGGTGGTTTCTTCAGGTCCTCCAGCCATTGCCATTTGTCTCTTGCCTCTGCCGCCGTCTCGGGCTGCTCCTTTAACGACTCCCACAATCCAATTGTTACTTCTCCCTTTCGCCATGGGTGTATCCAGCGGTTCAGAGTAGCAAACGCAGCCGACTTGGTCTTGGCGAGTCGTAACGCCCTGCGAGTCCAGGGAATCCCGAAGGGTTCATAATACGTGTCGAGAACCTCCTTTCGAACCTTGGGTGCTGGCTCAGGTCCAGGGGTCGTACGAGACTTCCCCTTTGGTTTGATGGTCGGGATGTCGGACCGCAGGTGGGCTTCTTCGTCTTCTACTTCTTCCAGCGAAACGGGAGGTTTCTTGCCTCGAGGTGGCAGTTGGTCACCGGGCCGGTCGCCAAGGCCCCTCGGCGGCATTTGGTCACCTTCTGACGAGTTGGTGGAGGAGGGCTCGCTGCCCTGTGTTTGGCCCTGGCCAAGGGCGCTTGTGCTCGGCGTTGTAACCTCCACCGTGATCCTATACTTATCCTCATTCCTAACGCCGGCGGTACTCTCGGAGACCCTAGGCAAACGCACACATATTGGCTCCCCAAGGGGGTCGACATCGTTTGCAGATGAGGCCACTACTAAATGTAGGTGGTCCCCTTGGATCCCGGCCTCAGCTG